CGGCCCTGGCGGTGTTCTGCAGGAAAGACCCGGAGAACCACGAGGCCCAGAGACGGGAACCTGGCCGGGCCCAGAAAGAAGAGGCGGGCGCCGGGAGGCGAGGCGGGAGGAGGGAGACGAGAGAGAGGGGCAGGAGAACCTGAACGAAGAGGAGGAGCTGTTCGCGTGAGAGAGCGATCTGGACAGCGAGGAGAAAGCGCCACTCCGCCCGCCGCTCCATCAGCGTGGCGCTGGTGAAGAGCAACTGCATGAGCTACAACGGAGGTACCCACGGACCCTCCCGAGTAACAGAGAGGCCCTCGCGTCCCGTCTTTAATGCCCCCCCCCCCCTTCTCTCTCCCCGTAGCGGTGGGTCTGTACGTGAAGAGCAGCCAGCCCCTGAATGTTTTTGCCAATCTGGTGAACAGCAACCGCGGCGCCGGCGTGGCCGTGCTGCAGAGCGGCCAGCTGACCCGGTTGGTCAACAATTGCATTCTGGGGAACGGCCGCGGGGGCGTCGCGGTGGAGAAAGACTGCCGGGTGGAGCTCCGTGGCAACGGCGTCTACAAGAACGGCGGCCACGGCGTCGCGTTCTGCGGCAACGGGCAGATCGTGGAGAACGACGTCGTCGGGAACCGCGGATACGGGATCCAGGCGTCCGGCAGCGCCGACGTCAAGGTGAGAGGAACCCGAGGACCTTTCCAACACCGCGTTATAATAACCATACAAAAGAACACGTCGCCATTGCACATTTACACACTGCCCATTCTTCCTACTAGGTGTTGCGCAACCGTGTCCAACCAGCACACGGCTGTGGCGTTGCCGTGTTCGGCCCGGTGAAAGGCGTCGTCCACGACAATCTCTTATTCCAGGGCCACCCGGGGAACAGAAAGGCGCTGCTGAATTTGGATCCCAGCAACGAGAGCTGCGTGTTGCGCAACAACAGCGTGCTACGGCATAATAACGGGTAACTAGGCAACCGACAGAGAGCCGCAGATTCAGGCCCTCCGTGTCTTTGCTGACCGTCCACACGCACGCAGCACCTTTTTCATCAAAGTAATGAGGATCAGGTCCTGAGCGCCAAAGCTTTGGTTCACTTGGATCGGGTCGTTTTCCAAAATATATCTGCGGTAGTCACGCGTTTGTCAAATTGTTAAATCATAAATGTATACAGTAGATAAGAGTATAATAAACATTAGGTTGTGAGGTCCTTGAAAAAGTTCAGGGTTTGACTGACAACTGAACTTTTACATGATTTTAGAAAAAAGAAAATGCTATGGTGATTTTATTTTGCTCCCATCACAACCTAAATGCGACACAATGGTCCTCCTAAATAATTCTTTAAATGCATTTACAAAAGACTTGCAGCTGCCTCCTTCACACCATTTCATTTTAAAAGATGATCTGTCCATGTTCTGCATATATTTGCTTATTTGGCTTTTGTCGTTTCCTTGCATTTCGTAGCTGTAAATCTGCTCCTCCCTGGGTTTTGGAAAACCCTCCACCTCGCCCGCTGGCCAGCTCCCCATCTGGCCTTCCCCTTTCCCGGTATCCCTCCAGACTCGGCATCTCCGTGACGACCAGGATCAGTGCCACTGTGGAAAGCGTTTGCCACGGCGGCAGCATGTTCTGCTCAATCCTGTGAACGCAATATGAATGACGTGCGTGTCCCCACCTTCTTCCACTCGGGGATGACCTTGCAGAACATTGTCCTTTTTGTTGGAGGATTGAAGTTTAACCACTAAATGCACCGTCTCTGTAGATTTTAAAGTACACTCTTTTGTAATTTCATGCGGCCAGTGCACTCAACAAGATGAGCAGTGCAACACGCCGCGAACATCTTCACTGTTCGCACTCCTGGGCTTCAGACATGCCTGTTCCTTCCACTCCGAGACATAAGTGTGCCTTGATTTCTTTTTATTCAATCATTGTAGCTAGAGAGGTGAATTCATGAAGTCCATGCTTCTGCTTCTGGCACGGAGCGAGTCTCCGTGACTCTGATCTGCTGACAGCCTGTTAGAGACTAAATGACATTCTGTGTGCAATGAGCTTTCTTCAAATGTTTTCACATCTACAATGTGCTCACAACCCATTCTTACTTTTTGTGTCTTGCACAGTAACAAGTAGGAATATCATGTACAACTCAAACATCACCAGGTCCTTTATTTGTCTACAAAATGCATTAAACAGTTCTTTGTTTGTGGTATTTCCAGTTCTTAAAGTCCTCTTGACTGAGTTCTCAGTTTGACTTTCAGTGCATTTTCTTGCGTTTCCGCTGCTCCATAAACGCCTCGTACTTGACCAGAGGTAGAACCAGAGAGGCGTAGCGGTTGGTGTCTCTGAGCTCGCCCGTGTTGGCTTTCCCCCGGGCCGGTCGGATTAGAGTCAGTCCCATCGACTTCGCAATCTCGATCATCCTGTAGGACACAGAGCCATCAGTTACAGGAGGCAGAGTTCTTGGATGCGCTTTGCATCCACTGGGTTTAACGTGCTGTGCTGACCGTTGGTACAAGACGTGTACAAGCTTCCAGTTATTTAAACTATCTGAATTATTCCATCTAATGCACTCGTGCAACATCCTCCGATACGCTGCAATTACATTCAGTTATGGCCTCGTTTCAGACATGCCGTTGATGTAAACTTGTTGGTAGTTAGTTTTGGACAACATAGTTAGCAGCAGAGAGGCTGCATACCTCAAACTGGGAGGAAAAACATGATATACATAGTCTTAATGCGCTGTATTCATATTTAAAGAATGCTCCCAACACCAGATCTCCTCCCCCCCCACCCCCCCCTGTGTCTTAATACGTGATTTGGTGTTTACATGAGCCGTTTCAAAATGGGGACGATAACAGTGTGATTTGTTAATACCTGGCCTCAGTGATTCCGAGGTCACGGTGCAATAACGTGAGGTCGCCAACCATGCAATTCATATGCAGCAGCAGCGCCAGAGAGTACGCCGCCAGTTTGGCCCGCATTGATGACGACACGATGTTCTGGACCCTGAAGAAAAGGGAGGGAGAATATGCAGCAAAATTGAGAAAAAAAAGGCTGCGTATGACCCCATGTTCTGACATGAATGCAGATTGCTGCTCGGGGCACAAACAATCACAGCCTCTGTTGACAATATTCAAACATTCAGTAAGAGACTTTTTAAAAGCGTTTATGGGGAGTTGCGTCCTACCTGCCGTTGTTGAAAGTCTCCACGGTGAACGTTTGGAGCAGCTTGCTCTGAACGCTGCGAGGGCAGCCCTCCTCCAGCCCGACTGTTGGCGTGAACAGAAACGGCAGTTAGCCCGCGCGCCGCTCCAGAGAACACAGCAAAAGGGACCAACATCCAACACAACTCACACTTGTGGTAGACGTTCTTCTGCCGGGCCAGCTTGAGGAGCATGGAGAGGTAAAAGGCGCAGCGCGATGCTCGCTTTCTGGCTTCGCCGAGGCTCGGCAGGTTCTCCAGGTGCTTCGCCACGCACAGGGACCTGAAACGACAAAGCTACATACTTAACGGCGACGCGGGGAAACGAATGGAACCTCTCTGCGAGCGTGAGCCCTTTCCCCCGCCCCTACCCTCCGCTGTCCCTCATCTTCTGAATCTCCTCCCGGGTGAGGGATGCCATCTTGGAGCCAGCCTCATCCAGAGCCTCGAACGCCATCGGACTCAGGACTACAGACACAAGTTAAGGAGCTTTTGCTCAGACGGTGTCATCCTTCTCGCCCACCTGCAGGTCTCTTGCGTACACACACACACACACACACACACACACACACACACACACACACACACAGAAAAATAAAGGATACTGTCGTCAAATAAGTAGACGTTTTCAGGATTGTCAGCAGCTGGGTTGCAGGGGGGCAGGTGGACAGCCATCTCTCCCTGGACCTCATTGTCAGCAACTTCTTGTTGGAGAGCTGAGGGTGGAGAAAAGAGGGGGGTGAACATCTGAGAAGAACAACATGGCAGGCCCTCAGATGACTGGTGGCTGAGTTTGAGACTACCAACTTCCAATTCCTCGACTGCACTTACCTTCCAGACCCTTGTCGTTGATCACAGTGTGGGCGGCTTGGGCCACGGCTTGATGCAGGGTATCACCGCCCACCTGGTTCAGCCTGCGGGAGCTCAGAGCTTTCTTCTGTTTGTTGGTGCCGAACGCCTCGATCAAGGAATCGACCTTTGACAGAAAAACGCAGAAGGTTGAGACGTTAAAACAGAGTTCATTCTCATACAAAGCCTCAGTCTGATTGGAAGAAAAAGCTGGACACGTCACAGCACCTTGTCTCTGTAGGTCACGGTAGTGTCCTGGGGGGCTTTGAGTTCCTCTGATGCTTCTCCTGGTATGACGGGTTGCAAGTTGTAGAGCTGAGCCTCATGCACCTCCATTTGCATGGTCGCCCTGTTCAGCACTCCCACATAATATCTGCACAAACAACCAAACAGCAGGCATTTTACTCGCCTGGTAACTTGCGCCATGGCTGCAAAAAAAAAAAATATATATATATATATATATACATAAAAGGTGTTTGCTTACTTGCAAACGTTGTTGCATTTCATGGATCCCTCTCCGAAGTTTGTTCCAACATAGCACAGCTTGTCTGCTTCAGCAGCCTGGACATAGATGGGACACGTGACCTCGGGCCTTGTGGAGATGCACAGTCTATACCGAGCGGTGTGTGCGTGTGTCTACGTCACAACGCAACTACACGGGGCCGAGGATGAGAGTTGTCTGCGTTTCTCACCACTATCCGCCTGGTCTTTTTCCTCGGGTTTCTTTCGTCTTGGTTCTTGTACATCGCGACATCCAGTCTGCCTCCTGATGTGACGCTGCCGTTGGAAAAGCGGACTGTGAGGAGGAGAAACCGGGATGTCACGCCACCATAAACACATATCAAGTTAATATAATGTTTAACAAATGCACGTTAAAAAAAGTTCACGTGTCCAACTATCCTTTGAATTTGATTGTTATAATCACAAAAACTAAAATAAAAACTCCACTCTGGTCAGCACGAGACTAGCTAACGTTAACCAGCGCGCTAACGTTGGGTTAGCATTAGCCCCGCTGCTAGCACGCATGTGTGCACCTACAAACCGGTGCCTTAAACATAGAGACCGATTTAAGTACCAGCCGGTAGTTTCAGTAAGTTCACACTTCTACAGAATACACTCGACCAACAACACGGGAGAAGCAGTCACCGATAACAGCTTTGTCTGACTCGTTCTCCTCTCCGCAGCACACCAGCGAGCAGGAGGCGGCCATAGTTGTTGTTGCGCGTTGGGCCTCAAGAGGCTTCGCTCGTTCGTATTTCCGCTTCGCTCTTAGGTATTTGCATCGGGCTGCACCGCAGGGCGGCGGTGTTTTGGTTAAAGACGTTGCACAAAGCCGCTTTAAAAAAATGTATATTGTTTAAAAATGGAGGCGTTTAATGTTGCTTTCGGCTTCCCGTCGTTGAGCCACTGAGAGGCATAATAAATGCGCCCCGGAACTGTACTTCCGGTCCATATGACTTGTCTCTGTCATGTATGAGCACACAGGCGTTTAGGATCGAGCAGCGCCACCTTGTGGGGAAACCTGTAACTGCAGCACAGCCCCCCCTCTGTGTGTGACACAACAACACCACAAAACAATAACAAGCATGTCGGACCCGGCCAGTGATTGACAGTCAGTATCTGTCTCGGTCACGTTAAGTGTGCTTCCATCTGCCCCGGTGACCCGGTGGCACCGGCGGCACGGGTCCAGCTCAGGGTTCCAGCCGCTCGAGACGACCCGGTTACCGTGAGCACATCCCTTGCAGCTTTCGACCCCCCCCCCCCTCATCTGAAGAGACAGACATGTTAACGGGGCATCCCTGGACGCAGACAAGAGGCCCCGCCAGGTGACGCGATGCTAACGCTCCGCTTGTGTTGTAGCTAGCAGGCATTTGCTGGTCTACGGCCGGCTAACTTTAGCCTGTTGCCTTCTGGTTCAGGGCCTCTCGCTCCTGCGTCTTCTTACACGCACATCGGGGGATTGCAGGTAACGCTATTAACGGGCTTGTCTTATCACCGTGCACAACGACATAACGCTCCGCTAAGCAGCTAGCGTGTTGTATGTTAGCCTATCTGTGCTAAGCTAACACGTAGCGTTCCACGGCGCGGCTACGCTTCAGCAGCCGCTCCGTGTCGGTAATTTTGCGTTTGTCACGTCCGTCCCGAGCCGAAGGGCTGCTCAGTTCATGGAACGTGTTATAAAAACACAGCTCTCTGTGCGCGTTAATTACAACACCGCACTTGAATTTTTGCAATGTCCCAAGATTAATTCAAGGATGAAAAAGTGATGACAATTCAGCCGTGGCTGTTGTAACACAACAAATAGATAACAATGCTGTAGTAGTGACGTTGCATTCTCTGTAGTGCACCTTTTTGAATTAGCATCATAAATGATCTAAACAGCGATTATTTGTCTCTTTGTCCAAAGAATATTTTCAACACCTTCCCAAACAAAACTGGTACATACAATATCTTCTTGTGTGAAAACTCATCTCATCCAACCTACATTCACATAACATTTGTCGCACCGTCATCTTTACACATCATTTCATAATACGTTGATCTGATTTGGTAAATACCCAAATAATGGATTGATCATATAGTTCATGAAATATAGGATATATTAGGGAATATTATTTATATATATTTATGAAAGAACTCATCACAGGGCCCCAGATCTCAAATGGAATGTCTTCAAGCTGCATCAAAACGTATTAACATATTCATTTCCCTGTAATAAAACCTCAAATGTGAGAGGATAGAAGCATCAGATGTGATCTAACCTACTGTTGGTCAAAGTGAAGTGGATTCACTAATGGCTCCAGCTGCCCGTTGTGTCATTCAGGGCCATGGATTTCCCGGGACACTTTGAGCTGATCTTCCAGCAGCTCAACTACCAGCGTGTCCACGGGCAGCTGTGCGACTGCGTCATCGTGGTGGGCAGCAGGCGCTTCAAGGCGCACCGCTCGGTGCTGGCCGCCTGCAGCACCCACTTCCGCGCCCTGTTCACCGTCGCAGAGGGAGACTCCAGCATGAACATGATCCAGCTGGACAGCGAGGTTTGGGTCCTATCCGTGTACCCGTGTGAAAGAGGGCAGTAGTTACTAGTAGTAGCAGTAATGACTAATGTATAGTACATGTGGTAGTTGCGGCCGGATACTATTTTATGTCCATGGTGAGGCTTTTCCATAAGGACCGTGGTGAGAGAGGAAAAAGGCCGTCTGTCTGAAAATCGGTGTGAGACGGGACATCCGAGAGAGACAGACAGACATAAGAAAGAGAGAGTGAGACTGAACTCCCTGTGTGCTTGCAGGTGGTGACGGCTGAAGCTTTCGCCGCCTTGGTGGACATGATGTACACCTCCACGCTGATGCTGGGGGAGAGCAACGTGATGGACATCCTCCTCGCGGCCTCGCATCTGCACCTCAACAATGTAGTCAAGGCCTGCAAACACTACCTGACCACGCGCACCCTGCCCATGTCCCCATCTTCCGACCGACCCCTCCTCCTCCACCACCACCACCACCACCCGCTGCAGCAGGAGCAGCAGAGGCACAAGCAGCAGCAGCAGCAGCAGCAGCAGCAGGTCTCGGACACAGCGGGGAGCGCCGCCCTCGCAGCCAACGGCGACCCCGCGGCGAACGCCGCCGCGTCCAAGATCCAGCGCTCCTTTCTGCTGCAGCAGCTGGGGCTGAGCTTGGTGAGCTCCGCCCTGGGGGGGATGGAGGAGGAAGGGGCCGGCGGTAGGGCAGGGGAACAAAGAGCCTCCTTCCCGATCCGACGCCTCCAGAAACGCAAGCCCTCTCTGGGCCTGGGCCTGTCGGAAGAAAGGCCCAGGCAGAGGCAACGGCCCGCCGGCCCAGACCTGGGGCAGCTGGGAGGCGAGAGGGCGGGCGCGGAGCGAGGGGAGGAAGCGCTGCTGTCCCCGGACTCCGGCAAGGTCGCCGATGGATCCAAGTTGGGCGCCGCGATCGGCGGCCTGGTAGCGGCGTCCCAAGACGATCCTCAGATGCCCAGCCAGTCGGACAGCGGACAATGTGGGGCGGAGGAGTTAGGGGGGCTGCAGGGGGGGGTTAGGAAGGAGGAGGACATGGGGGAGCAGGACCTCCACGTCAACAGAGCGGGGGTGAAGATCAAAGGAGAGGAGGGGGCAGAAGATCAGGAACAGAAGGTATAGATGCGGCTTGATTCCATGTTGCCTCGGTCACAAACATTTAGTTATTTTACACATAAACACTTGAGATGATGAAGGGACTATAATGAATCTTATTTATTTGTTCACTTCTTTTCTTAAGATGTATTTGAATTCCATCATTTCCCTGTTTTTCAGTTTTGGATAAAAGAAAAAGTATAAAACTTGTTTGAAATCAATATCACAAACAGATATTTAGGTTAACAAAATTTTCACGTTTTTTTAAGACCAAACTCCTCCTCCTTCTCGTAGGTGGTGGTGAAACAAGAGCCGCTGAGCTCGCCGGAGCTACCGGATGAAATCGGCGACGTGACATCGCAGGCCGAGCCCGAGGGCCGGGAGGAAGAGGAGGAGGAGGAGAAGGCGGACCTGAGCCCGCAGAGCAGCGACCGCAGCTTTACCGCCGAGCCCGGTTCCCAGCTGCTCATCAAGAGCGTCATGGCGGGTGGAGTCGGAGGAGGAGGCTTTGGGTGTAACGGCGAGCTGGGGGGCAAACCCGCTTTCAGTATCTCCAGCTTCCTCGCAACCAAGGATTTTGGGAGCGGCGGTGCGGGGCTGGATGCCGGAGAAGACGAGCTCCCCAACACGACAACGGGCGACTCGGTGGCGCACCACTTCCTGCTCCATCAGGACGCCGCCAGGCCGCCCGGTTCGGCCTCGTCCTCTCACCTGAAGCCGGGTCCACTCAGCGGCGAGAGTTTCAACGGTTTCGGAGACAACCTACAAGCTGAGTCTTTGTTCCTGCTGCCCCTGCACGACGGGTTGGGGAACCCCAGAGGGGGCGGGGGAAGCGGCTGTGGGGGGCGCGCCGGGGGAGATCCTTTCGGCGTGGACTTCCAACACTCCGGTCTGGGACTCCACTCCCTGGGGCGATCCGCCCGGGAAGCGAGTGCCGCCGCCCTGGGTTACCCGGGTTACAGACGCATCGCCCCTAAAGCGGTAGCCGGCGCGGGGGGGGACGAAAGTGGCGGCGTCCTCCTCCAAGACGCCGCCTCCTCCTCCTCCTCCTCCTCCTCGAGCCTGGCGAGCCCCACCTCACTCCCCCCGCATCTGACCCGCGCCTCGGCCGACGTCCTGTCCAAGTGCAAGAAGGCGCTGTCGGAGCACAACGTCCTGGTGGTGGAGGGCGCTCGCAAATACGCCTGCAAAATCTGCTGCAAGACCTTCCTCACGCTGACCGACTGCAAGAAACACATCCGCGTGCACACGGGGGAGAAACCCTACGCCTGCCTCAAGTGCGGCAAGCGCTTCAGCCAGTCGTCCCACTTGTACAAGCACTGCAAGACCACCTGCCTGCGCTGGCAGAACGGCAACATGTCCAACGCCCTGCTGTGAGGCCGCCGCAACCCGAGCGGGATCAGCGATGGGCTGCAATCAAAAGTACTCCATCCAGCGGATGTGATCAGCTGTTGCGCCCCGACGGCAGAGCCGAGTTGGGCGCGATCAATGGGATTGTTTTTCACGAGGCACACACACATCGTCGGGGCGGCTGAAGGACGGCAGGGAGCAACAGTGCCGACTTTGTTGCTATGGATTCATCACAGATAGAACCATAGATATACACAGTTAGACCAGACTAGTCCTGGACCTTTTTGTTACAAACTACACCGCCGGCTTGTGTAGTTTGTGTTGAGCCTATTGAAGCAGATTTAACCCACTAATACTAATGCACATTAGTGAAACATGTAGCATGAGACGGTGCTCCTGTGCAGTCGACCCGACGGATTGTGACACCTGTGAGTGTTGAAAACTGTTGTCGGCTGTGTGCTCTCTGTACTGTGAACAGAAGGGTGATCGAGGTTAAGAAGACTCCAGTTCATCCTTCCAGCCAAACAAAGTAAAGTACCCAAGCGATGAAATGTCTGCATTCTCAGAACCTTTCGGTTTCTATTTGAGGAAATCATATATTGGGTTGTATCGGCTTAATTCAAGTAACGACATAAATACGCTGTAACATGCACCTTAATTTGTGTCTTCATTATGGCATTATTCCTCCTTATTCATTAGTGACTGACTGATGCATTTGTGTGTTTATTAAAAAGGAAAGGAAGTAGTGCAGAGAGTCAGTCATCTAAAGGAAAGGATTGGCTCAAAAAGGGCTTTGGAAAATGTAAATATTGCACTTTTGTTACAACTCCTGAAGAACTAAACTTTTTTTGCTACTGTACTTGATATCATATTTATCTCACAGAAAGCACTTGGACCAATAGTTCTCCTTAGTTTACTGGACTGTGTTATTCTCTCACTGCCCCTCATGGGGTTTCCAAGCTAACGGTCGTAGCGCTTTTGTTAGCGGGTTCTGAAACACAACTTTACATCGTCTCTTCGAAATTGTGAGCTGTAGCTGTTTATTTTTATAGTGTGTCATTTTAATGTCAATGTGTATCTGCAGATCCATTCAAATCCATTGGAGTAAGTAAAAAATAAAATAACACATGCGTTGTTTAAGTGAACCGAAATGGTAAAAAAAAAAAAAAACACCCTACACGTTTTCCTTTTTGTGTACTTGAGCGTTTGCTGCATCGATGAGAAACAAGCGGCCGGCGCCTCCCGGTCCGCACCTTCTCTTGTCCCTTTTTTAAGAGTCCTGTTAACAGAGGACATTTGATTTGACGAACCCGTTGGCGGGTGACCCGGGCGCTCCGTCGGGTGTCTCTCCCTGCAGACGTGAGCCACGCGGTTCCGACGGCGGGGAATTAGTGGTCAAGTGTAATTATGATGCTGTCTTTTAAAAGATGTTAATGTGAAAACTGACTCTACTGTTTCCCCCATGTATGAATATGCCAAAATGTTGAAATGCATTAAAACAATTATTATAAAAGTCAATGCCTTACGCCCTGATGCTTGAAAAGCTGGGCTTCTGTTAATATGCCAAATCTGAAGTATTGTGTTTTTGTCTATACTTAAAATAATAGCCACGAGAGGAATAAATGTGTGTCTCTTCACTGTTGAAGGCTACGAAGATTGTACAGTATGTTCAGTTGTTGTGTACGCTGAATAAAAACAAGGAAGTGCAGTTTTGTTGCCGATGACGGTTTTTGGGGGGAAACGCCAGCTGATGCACACACAAGAATAAGACAATCGTTTTACAAGTTAAAGATGGTTGTTATTTGTATCTTCTACATAAATGATGAGGCAGACAAGCAAACTGCTGTTTTTCTTCTTCACATCTGGAGCTCTTTGACCATCGGCTCGCCCTTCAGGCCCAGCAGGAGGTTGTTTGCCGCCAGGGCGGACATGGCGTTCCGGGTGGTGTAGGAGGCACTGGCGATATGTGGGAGGATCACTGTGGGAGGAGAGGGGGGGGGGGTGATGATACAGTTAGCTTTTTAACCCCCCCAAGTCCAAACTTCATATTGGTCCTCTCTGGGTGCGAGAAGCCAAAATGAAATGACGTTAGCTAAACATGACCAGGGGTCGTAAAGAAAACGCTCCTGCTCTGCAACTCTCACCAAAACCAATCCAGATGGACAAATAAGTGAGAGCACACGCAGGTGTTGAGGTGAACTGTCCGATGAGTCTGTCCACTCACCACAGTTTTTCAGGGTGAAGAGTGGGTGGTCCGTGGGCAGGGGCTCGGGAACAGTCACGTCCAACCCGGCTCCCGCTATCTGGCCGGTGAGCAGGGCCTCATACAGGTGCTCCTGGTTCACCACGCCACCCCTGAACGCCACAGAGAGACCAGAGTGAGAGACCCGACGGCTACCACGCCAACCAAAGTGTCTCCCATTCCCAGTGGAGGGTTTCATCGCACGTGGACCGCGAACCTGCTTGTGTTGATGAAGATGGAGGTGTCCTTCATCTTGGAGAAGAGGCTCTTGTTGCAGATCTCCTTGGTTTCCGGCGTCAAGGCGCAGCACACCGCCAGGAAGTCCGAGCGCTCCGCCAGCTGGTCGAAGGAGACTGGACCCAGAGAGACGCCACGTCGTGTTTTGTGTTATTCACAGTGTCTCAACTTGTGTGCATCATCTGAGGTATTTCAGTCCGGAGGATGAGACGCATCTCTCCGCATCCTCACCGTACTCTGCGCCGATGAGGGCGGCCAGCTCCGGCCGGGGGGCCACGTCCGCGTAGATGAACTTCTTCACCTTGAAAGGAACCAGGCGCTCGGCGATCGCCACACCTTCGGGGGTAAAAACAAAGTGAGAAGTATCTGTTTTTAGTTGTTTTTTTCCACCGGGAGCGGCAGTTGGACCGCGTGTTGAGTCAGCGGGTGTCGCGGCGCTCACCGATCCTCCCCAGGCCCAGGATCCCCACCGTGCTGTTGGCCAGCTCGTGTCCACACAGCCACAGGGTTCTCCACGTGCCCCAGCCGCCGCTGAGAGGTTAGAGAGCGAGAGTGGGGGTTTGACCTCTGACCCTCCACCATAAAATGTCTCTTTACATCAGAGGCCCGGTCCCACTGTCCCCCGGAAACACCCTAAACCCTGAAGGGGACTTAAGTGGGCTCATCTGGCAAGTTTCTGAGGGCTTATATAAGCCCCGACTTGTATTTTAATGCAACATATCACGTCACCATGACAACATTCAAAAATTAATTAAATAAATTTGAACCCCTGAGGTCTTCCAGGCTCTGTGAGATCATGTTTTTAATGTTTTTCTTCAAAATGCCTGAATTAAAGATTTGAAGAATAAATATTAAATATTATCTGATTCCACATTTGTTCTATCTTTAATAGGTAATGTGTCGGTGTACCTTTCGATATGACACACTGGACACATGTGTCGTCCTCTTAGTTTACCCGTGTTTAACCTTACATTGCAATGCCTTGTGGGTAATAAGTCTGCATCTAACGCCGACTTACAGAGAGGCTTCAGAGAGAGCTCAAAATGCCTGCCGGAGAGACTCGAGCACTCTGCGGTGGGACCGTGGGACAGAACTAAACCCTCATGGAGTCAGCGGGAGTGTCCGAGTGGACATCTGGATGGGAGTGTGTGTGGTACGTTACGTCTTGGCTTCGTGCGTGGCCTCTATGAGCCTCCTGGAGGTGGTGAGCAGCAGAGCCACAGTCAGCTCAGCCACCGAATCGGTCAGCACGTCCGGCGTGTAACCCACACGGATCCGTCTGGGGCAAAGTCAAACACAATCAGGCACGTCGACACCTTCGGCTCCGACGTGTCTGGAGAGAACAGAGCGGTGAGAATCACCTCTTCTTCAGCTCCTGCAAAGAGAGATGGTCGAATCCCACCGACATGGTGCTGACGACCTTCAGGTTTGGACCTGCGGGAGTTCACCCACAAATAAGTACGTCATTGCTTAACTGCCTCTAAAGCCTCCCCCCCCCTCCCCTGACCTCCCCCTGACCTGCAGCGTCCAGCAGCTCTGCATCGATCTTCTCCGTCAGTACACAGACCAGACCGTCGACGCCTTTGACCCGCTGCAGCAGCTCCTCCCGGGGCACCGGGACGTCGTCGGAGTCCCACAGGTCAACCGTAACCCTGAGCAAACCGAAACACGACCATCATCCTTCAGAACCGATGGCATTGGCTGCTAAAGCTTCTGTTAAAGATCCTACTAAGACGGGCAGCATTGCAAGCTCATGCTGTAGGTTTATACAGAAATACTGGGGCCTGTGATGTGCAGAGAGAGCTCTGCTGTGGGGGAATACGCTCCCGGTCTTATCTGACCAACCTTAATGCAAACACGCAGTTTACGCAATGTAAATACTTTGCAAAGCAGGCCAGTCAAAAAGCGTATCGCGGTCAGCCACATGACACGATCCACCTCAGATTCAACGCGGCTTAACGGGACACTCACCGTCCGGACTCACGGAGGATCCTCAGGCCCTCGGGTGGGATCTGTCGGGTGACATACACCCGTTGCAGGGTCGACATCTTCCTCAGCGCGCCGCTTGTGAGGCCGGTCAGCGGAACGGCAGCGACCCGCTGGATCCGACGCAGCGCCATACGACTGCACCACATTGCCAGGAGGGAGAGCGAATGGGCCTGGTCAGGGGTCCGAGAGGGGACAGTGGCACTTTGGAGTTCAGAAGTCCTGTTGTGTGCGTGCGTGTGATTTTGGCTCCAGTACAAGGGTGGGTGTGGGAGAAGGGGGGGTTCCAGCGTGTGTGTGTGCCCCTGACCAATATGATTAGAGGGAGGGTGTCTCTGGAGTTGAGGGACAGCCTGTAACAGACAATGCAAACACAATAATTCAATGAGTCCAAGCTTCGCCCAGTTTCAGGATTACATACTTTTTTTTAGATACATTTCGCTTTAAACCAAATACGTATAGACTTGAAAAAGTCACAAAAAAATCGTTTTCTCACACACTGAAACACAGAGAGACAAACTGCACATATAAATAAAACAGCAGCAGAATGTTTTTTTTTCTCCTAAATCATCTCTCAGAATGGGAGCAAGTGCGTAAATGTTTCACTCGGCTGTTGACCTTTGTTTCTTTAAACAGTGGAGGACCCAAAGGCTGTTTTGTGTTTTCTGCTTCGTCTCTCTGTCTGTTACCGGTTCAGCACTCTGTCCTTACTTTCTCATTTTGAGCTGAGATTCACACAACTAAGAAAATAATAAAAGAAAAATGTCAACGTTAAAATATTTGTGCAAGGGAATTGTTCACACGATTGAAATATTTTTAAAGTGTTTTTAATCCAGCAGCTTTAAAAAAAATAAAATGATTCTTTAAAACAATACATAATAGTTTGCCTGCTGAACATAGATTTTTGCAGTACCTGTTTCAGTATTTTGTAAAAATAGTTTTCTTAGTGATTCATATACACAAGATAAATAACTAATATATAATTATTTTATTAGAATATTAGTAGAGAAGATTTCAGTTTGGATTTGGTAAATAAATAGAGCTGAACACAAACACTAAATACTGTAAACCTATTGGATGACCGTGGTCACGTGATCGTGATAACCCGGAAGATCTCCGAGTTTTTAACCAGTCACAACCATTCATTCCCCTAGCCCGTCGCGCATACTGACAGGTAGCTACGTATGGTTATTTGTCTCATTTTAACAAGATTCACATGGCCTTTTCATGTTGATTGGTAGAACAAAAATACCTAAAAAAAACTCTTTCACCCCCGAGCAATTATCCGTAGTCTAACGTGTGTGTCGTCACTTTTAACGAGTTCATGACGAGAGTCGGCAGAGGCACTCGGCGCTAGCTAGCTGTAGCCGCTAGCTCTCCCCGGCAGGTTCATCAATCACACCGCGGTGGTTACGGTAGCCAACTTAACTGCTGCAACCTTCGACCGTAGACAGACGTCGCTGCGTTGTCTCGAGGCAGACAGTCGCCGTTTGCGCGCGGCTGCCAGCTGCCAGGTTACTATCAGTAGTAGTGCCAAGAGTGAGCCGGGGTGTGTGAGTGCCGTTAGCCTTTAAGCTAACCCTCGGCAGGGCGTTGGTTTTTAGTTCACTACCGGTGACAGCCCGTAGTTACGTTTTACACCGTTTTATTCTGCATGTGATTCTTTAGGTAGAGCCGGTGTCTCGGGCAGTTGAACCCCCACCCCCCTGCCCCTCTTCCCCTCCCAGCATGGCTGCAGACTCGATGGAGATCGACGACTCTCTTTACAGGCAAGTCCAATGACCGCAGTTCTTCATTACGTCACATCACAGGAGTCCATCTCCTTCTTGATCCCTTTTATCATTCCTCTTCCTGCCTCTTCTCTCTTTGTCCAGCCGCCAGCGATATGTGCTGGGAGACAGTGCCATGCACCAGATGGCCCAGTCCTCAGTCTTTCTCAGTGGAATGGGAGGACTGGGAATCGAGATCGGTAAGCCCGGGCTAAATGTCACAGTGCTGTGAAGTCTTCTGTTCACGCCATCTTCATCACTCAATTGTTCTTTGGCTCTAATCCACGTCATTCCGCTTCCACAGCAAAGAATATCGTCCTGGCTGGCGTGAAGGTATGCAGCATGCAATGCGTCAGCGTGGGGTGTGTGGCGTTGGTGTTACTGCGGCCTCATGGTGTGCGTCTGTGTGCAGGCGGTCACCCTTCACGACACGAAGCGCTGTGAAACCTGGGACCTGGGCTCCAACTTCTTTATCCACAATGAGGACGTGTCGACCCAGAAGAGGAGGTAAAACACAGCGCTGGACGGTCGCTCTACGCCTCAGACGTAGATGCTCACGATCTGAAATGTGACGTGGCTCTTCTCTCACATGGCGCCCCAGGGTCGAGGCTGTGTGCCCCCGGGTCGCAGAGTTGAACCCGTACGTCCACGTCGACGTGTCCTCCGAGGCTCTGGACGACAACAACGATCTCGGCTTCCTCGGAAAGTATCAGGCAAGGCCTCGCGTTCACAATCCGGGGTTTGTTTTGTTCGTGGAGAACTCCGGATGCGATCGACCGGCTTGGATTAGTAGCCTTTAAAAAATAGTTTCCCACAGTCAAGGCGGAGAAGTTGGAACACTCCTTCAACTTGACCTCCATCACATCCGTCATCCCCTCTTCTCTCTCCTGCAGTGTGTGATTCTGACAGAAGCCCGATTGAGCCTACAGAAGAGAGTGAACGACTTCTGCCACTTCCATCAGCCGCCCATCAGAGTAAGTCCACCGCGCAATGCAAACGCACAAACGAGTGCGACGCGAGCCAAACGTTTTCTAACGTTGTGTCCTCTGCAGTTCATTGGCTGTGACGCATACGGCATCTGCGCGCGGGTCTTTTGTGACTTTGGAGAGGAGTTCGAGGTGTCGGATCCCACAGGAGAGGAGCCCAAGGAGATTTTTATCCAAAGTATAACTCAGGTATTCCAAACTCCGTCTCCACCAGGGTCCATCCAGCCTTGTTCCTCCTTTCTGACACTCGTTTGGTTGCCCTAACTGACAGGAGCCACATTTAATCCTCTTCTTTCCAACGTGGACCCTTCAGGGCGACCGCGGGGTGGTGACCTGCATGGACAACCAACCGCACGGCCTTCAGACGGGTCAGAGTGTCGTCTTCAGAGAGGTCAACGGCATGGTGGAAGTGAACGGCACCGCGCGGCCTATTGCAGGTATCATTTCATTTCTACGTAGATGCTTGTAAATTTGTAACATTTAAACTAGGTTTAATATTTACATAAAAAAAGAACGAATGTGCTGCAGATTGTAACATATTTGGTCTAATCAGTTTCTCACATTTTGAACAATTCAAAGAGGTTTAAGGAGATATTTTCTGAATACATTAGTTCTTATTCTGTGTGTGTGTGTGTGTGTGTGTGTGTGTGTGTGTTTCTAGTCCTTTCCCCTCACAGCTTTGAAATAGGAGACACATCCCAATTCCAACCATATCAACATGGAGGTTTCTTTGTTCTGGTGAAAACCCCCAAAACATACAGATTTGTAAGTTGAGTTCTTGCCAGAAATATTGGTGAATCAAAATTTTTTTTTATATATTTGAGATGAACATATCTTTGTGTGTATTTCAGGAGACATTAGAGAGACAGTTGTGCGATCCGCACGTCCTCACACCAGACTTCAGTAAACCCGAGGTGAGAGTCCCCCCGATACCGTAGCTGCTGACTTTGGGCTCCACTCGGGGCTCCAGCTAAGCTCAAAACAATAGAAAACAGTGTCCGTGTGGTTGCATGTACAGACCAGTAGAGTCACATGGCTTCTAAGGCGTCTTAAAGGATGTGCTTATTCTCTTCCCCTGACTAAGTGAGCCATGCTGTGGGGTTGTACCACTCACTCCCTGTTATGAATCTACCCATCAGGCCCCGCTACAGATCCACGCTGCCATGTTGGCTCTGGACGCCTTCCAGGAGCAGCACAGCAGACTCCCCAACACCGGGTAAACCTGACACCCCCCCCACACACACACCTCATAGTACCAGAGGGTCTCGTGGGAAGTTGTTGCAATGTGACACATTCAGTTGTCAGCATTTAGTTTCACTTTTCTTGCCACCAGGTGCTCACAGGATGCTGAGGTTTTACTGAAGCTAAACGAGGAAGTGAACCAAACTCTCAGGAACAAAGTGAGACACTTTTCTTTTGTACCGCTCACGCTTTGATTCTGTCCAACCTGCAGCGATGTGCACACACACACACACACACACACACACACACACACGCACACTGACAGACGCCCTAATATCTGTCTGGCCTTTGCAGGCTTCTGTGAACGTCGAGTTGGTGCGCTGTCTGTCGAGAACGGCGAGGGGAACTCTCCCTCCGTTAGCAGCGGCTGTGGGAGGTCTGGCCAGCCAGGAAGTGCTCAAAGCCATCACGGGCAAGTTCGCCCCACTGCAGCAATGGGTGGGTCGCGCTGCGCCGAGTGGATTCACCGCCTGCAGCTCCACGAACCCCGCAGAACAATTCGCTTAACTAGTGTTGAGTTGGTCGTGAATGAAAGCCGATTCCATCCCCTGCGTCTAGTTCTATCTCGATGCCGTCGAGGTGGTCCGGCCGCTGCAGTCCGTCGCTGCCGAGGAGTTCTTGCCGAGGGGCGACCGCTACGACGGCTTGCGCGCCTGCATCGGCGAACCGATGTGTGTGGCGCTGCATAAGCTCAGGGTGTTCATGGTAAGGGTTGCGCCGCGTCGAATCATTTCTCACGCTTCTTGTCCGACTGAGCCGCCGCCACGTCTTCTCCTCCAGGTGGGCTGCGGGGCCATCGGCTGTGAAATGCTGAAGAACTTCGCCCTGCTCGGGGTGGGATTAACCAGCAGCTCAGGAGAGGTGGGTGTCTCCTCTCGTATGTCTTTTATTACTCGTCCTTGGATATTCCGTGAGTATTTGTGCTCCGCATCTCTCAGGTATGCATCACAGACCCCGACCTCATAGAAAAGTCCAACCTCAATCGGCAGTTTCTCTTCAGACCACGTCACATACAGGTAAACCTTTTTTAATAAAATGTTAATTATATATTGATTAGAACCTCGATTGACCGCACAGCCTTTTTTTTTTCCCTCCCCGTCTCCTGTCTCCGGTCCCCCCCCCCCGCGGGTCTCAGAAACCGAAGAGCACCACGGCAGCAGAAGCCACCCTTGAGATCAACCCAGACCTGCAGGTGGACGCTCACCTCAACAAGGTGTGTCCCGCCACCGAGAGCGTCTACAACGACGCCTTCTACTCCCGCGTGAACCTGGTGGTCACCGCGCTGGACAGCGTGGAGGCTCGCCGATACGTGGACAGGTAGGCACGAGATTCAAGTGAATTCCTTTTGGTTTTTATTTTTCACTGACGGTGTCTCAAGAGTTTCATTTACCGATTTGGCCAACGAGTGATGTTGTGTTTGCAGCCGCTGTTTATCCAATCAGAGGCCTCTTCTTGACTCCGGCACCATGGGAACGAAAGGGCACACGGAAATCATCGTGCCAAATTTGACCGAGTCCTATAACAGCCATGTGAGTGTGTTTGCGTGAGAGCGTTTTTTTTTTTTCGTCCCGTGGCGTGCTGTCGCTCCCAGACGCAGATCTTTAGTCAGTGATCATTGGCTTTGCTCACCAGAGGGACCCCCCGGAGGAGGAGATCCCATTCTGCACTCTCAAGTCCTTCCCTTCCGTCATAGAGCACACCATTCAGTGGGCCCGAGACAAGGTCAGCCAAATACCCAACGAGTCATCCTTTTCTTCTCTTTCATTGACCGCCTTGTGTACTAAATCTGGTCTTTAACTTTGGGTTTGTCTAGTTCGAGAACCTGTTTGCACACAAGCCCTCCATGTACAACTCGTTCTGGCAGACGCATCCCTCTGTTGAGGTGGTGCTACAGGTAAGACTTTGTGTGGCGTCAGGGTTGGTCCCACTTGTTACAAGTATCCCTGGCCAGCAATGGGATGCTTTAAATGACAGACTGTATTAAAGATGGTGTGTGTGTGTGTGTGCATAGAGGATGCAGATGGGGGAAAGTCTGGAGGGGTCATTCCAGGTCATTAAGCTGCTGAGCAAACGGCCCAGCCGGTGGGATCAGTGCATCGCGATCGGCCGTCTGAAATTTGAAAAATATTTTAAGCGAAAGGTAAGAAGTCTCCTCCTGAAAGCATTTATTTATTTAACAATGAAGGTCCCCAACCTCTTGATGTTTACCCGCCACACCATCAAGACCCGTTCGCAAAATATTGCCTAACATGAAAACTGTCCGTGAGGCAAAATAGGTTTGGGGGGGGCTGATTTAACACATCTCATGTACACGGGTGCTGGTGCAAACTCTAATGTCATAACCTTTTTGTGTGTAGGCCCTACAACTGCTGCACTCTTTCCCCCTAGACACGAGGTTAAAAGATGGAAGTAGGTATTTAAGTTCTCGAATGATTTCAATATGTATTGTATCTTAAGAGCAAAGAATATGGCGGATTATTCTTCTCTTCCTCAGGTTTGTTTTGGCAGTCCCCGAAAAGACCCCCAGCACCTATTGATTTTGACTTGCGAGACTCCCTGTGAGTAAGCGCTCTTACACTGCACTTCATTTATTGTACATTTCAGATGTAAGTTTAACAGACCGACCTTCTTTTCCCCGTCAGGCACTTCAGCTTCATTGTCAGCACCGCCCGGCTCTTCGCTGGGATTTACAACATCCCGTACTCACCAAAGGTAGGTCACCTAGGGCACGGACGCTTGTACGCTCGCTCTCTGACACGCACCTACTGAGTGGACTTCTTCTCTATTCAGGACGTCACAGAAGAGGAGGTGACCAGGCTTCTCTCCGATGTCAAGATTCCCGAGTACAGGCCCTCAGAGAAGGTGAGCTTTTCCCCCTGAACTGCTCCTCGAGGTTCTATCCTAGTGTGAAAAATGTCTGATTGGCGCGTCCCTTTAGTGCATAGAGACCGACGAGACGGCGAAGAAGCCCGATTCGGTGAAGCTGCCTCTCAGCAGCGAGGAAGAGAGGGAGGCCATCGCGCAGCTGGAGCACGCCATCGCCACCGACAACGTCACAGCAGGTGCACAACAGATACTCAACGGGCGGATCTGTTTTCCGCTGTGTATCGTTCTTTTTCCCCCCCCCTCACCTGTTGCGCGTGAGACCCCGTCACAAACACTGCGGGTAACCACGACGCGCTTTCCCCCTCGCAGAGCGGCTGCAGGTGGAGCCCGCTGCAGTTTGAGAAGGACGACGACCTCAACGGCCACATGGACTTTGTCACGGCGGCGTCCGCCCTCCGAGCCAGGATGTACGCCATCGAGCCGGCCGACCGGCTCAAGACCAAGCGGATCGCCGGCAAGATCATCCCCGCCATCGCCACGGCAACGGCCGCCGTGGCTGGACTGGTGAGAAAAGGCCGCCCCCTCCCCCCCCCCCTCCCTCCCTCTGGTGGTTTGAGCTGCCGAACACTGGAGGTGGAGGTTAAGAGCATTTAGTTTTCACGTGTGTATGTTTCTTTAAAACCGGACGACGCGGGGCGGGCAAACGTTGCTCGAGCCTGGGCTCGCCCGTAGCGATCGATCGGGGGAGGAGCTCCGCGGCAGCGAGAGGAGCCTTTGGGGTTGGGACACGCTGGAGGATTCGGGCTTAAAGTATTGGGACGTCCGTGAGAAAAGATGTTTAAAGCAAACTCTGTTGTTCACCATCCATGACGTAGTTCCTTTGGATGCGTTCAGGTGGCCCTGGAGTTGGTCAAGGTGGTCGGAGGCTACGAGTTTGAGTTGTTCAAGAACTGCTTCTTTAACCTGGCCATCCCCGTCGTGGTGCTCACGGAACCTGCGCCCGTTAAACAGTCACTCATCAGGTAAGGGAATGGGCACAGAAAAGGATCAAGCACCTGGAGGCTTTTCATCATTTTGGCTCTTCCCCAGGGACAACATTTACTTCTCCATCTGGGACTGTTGGTCCGTCTTTGGCCACGAGGACTTTACCCTCTCTGACTTCATCAATGCAGTGAGGGTGAGATGCCGTTCAATTCTTTTAAGATTTTCACTTTTCCCTGGAGGTCCGATGAGGCTTCTTTGGTGTCTTTTATGTTTTTTCGCCATTCATCTTTTATTGATCCATGTTTTTTTGTTTTTTTTCCAGGAAAAGTATGGAATAGAACCGACTATGGTCGTCCATGGTGTCAAAATGCTCTACGTGCCTGTGATGCCGGGACACTCGAAGAGACTCAAGCTAACGTAAGTGTTTCCTCCTCCTTCATTCTTTGTGCCCCCCCCACCGCGCCTCTGAACCTCGCCTCTCCTCAGAATGCAGAAGCTGATCAAGCCATCCGGGGACCGCCGCTACGTGGACCTCACCGTGTCGTTCGCCCCGGAGACGGACGGCGACGACGACCTGGCGGGCCCCCCCGTCAGGTACTTCTTCAGCCGCAACGGAGAGACCCCCTGACGGCTCTCCCGGGCCCCCGGCCTCTTGTGTCCTTACTCCTCCCTTCTTTCATGGAAATTTGTTGTACCACAATACCCTGGGCCGAGCTTTCCTTCAGCGCTCTCTACATGGTCCAAAGCTCCGGGGCCGTAACACCAGCGACGGCCCCCCCCACCCCCCAACCCCACAATCTCTGCACCTGCTGCAACAAGAAGAGGCCAGTTCAGAGCTTCTCTCGCCCCAGATTGAGCCAACGAGAGGCTGCTTGAGTAGCACTTACCTGTACTTTTGTACATATGTCTCCTGTTCTGTTTTCTACTCCGGTTCCAGACAGAAAGCACAGCTGTGGCTGTGTTAATGCCTTAATTGATTACCAACTTTTGTGTTTGTGACTGACTAAAAACTATGTTTACTGTTACATGTCATCTCACAAAAGCACAACCCTGTTAGTCTTGTTTGTTTAAGTATGCTGGTCCCAACGAGGGGGGGGGGGATTTGATCTGATCGCCAGCCAGACTGTGGTGCCGATTTGTCAACAGTTGCTAAAGCTCCAGAGTGACTGACCACTGCAGTTCATTGCTCTGTTAACGACCGCCCCATAAACACATGTTTCTCCTGGGGGGGGGGGGGTTATTATGCCAACATCACAGGGCAGATGTGCTTTGCACTTAAGTTCATGGTTTGAAGCAACCACTAATTGTAGTTGCTACTCCTGTCCATCACTTTGACTACTTAATTACATACATTAGCATCAGTTAACACGTTTGGATAGATGGAGTAATGGCTTAACTTCCATTGACACATCTGGACCACGCTCCTGTTTTATTTAAAACACAAGCTGTGTTTATGGGTGGGTGTGTCCATGGCACTTATTTATTTACGCCTTTTTTTTTTTTTCTTTCTTGTGTCAAACTGAGCCTTTGTGGAGCTCTGTGGAGTCATGGTAAACAGGTTTATTGTGAAACAACAAAATAAAAAAGTGAATCCTTCTCTTTAGTTCCAAGTTTATTTCCCTCCCCGTAACCAGAGGCTTTTACTCTGCATCATGCTAACAAGCCTTTTGGTTTGGCCTGATTGTCAGTGTAAAACTAGTGTTGTATGTTCATCTGACCGACGACCCAATAAAATGGAAAAACAATTACATTGATTATCATTGTACATCAGCAATAAAAACTAGTCCGTTTTACAGAATATAATAAATACATTCAATTCATTGAGAGCGCTTATCTGGTATTTCATCATTGGTAATGTAGCAGTTAAAAATATCCATTTTAGTATGATAACGTAGTAATATATTACAGAAGGGAAACACTTTCCGTCTTACATCTGCCTGCATTTAGCACATTTTAAACAATCTTTCATATATCCAGGTCCTCCAGGTTTCCCCAGCTGGGTCCCGCCTTGACTTTGGCCTTCAGCTTCACATACAGCTTCACTGCCGACTCCATCTCCCTCTTCACTATCTGAGCCACCTGCCAGGGAGTCAAAGACTGATCTGTGCACGTGTTCTTGTCCATGTTTAAGCAAAAAATCTCTCTCTCATCGCCGGCCCTTTAATTGTTGCGTAATTGATTACATCTCAAATTCAGGTGATCAAGTCCGGTCTTTTGTTTCTTTTCAGCGGTGAATGAGACTTCCTACAAATGGAACAAGCCGACTTTGTCGGCCCAGAAATAACAAATCGATGACATCACTGACAGTATTACGGAGTGACGTTGGTACCTGGATGAGGTCTTCCTCCGTGGTTTCATAGATGAGCTCGTCGTGCAGCTGCAGGACAAAGTAGGCCCCTCTGAGCCGGGACGCCCCGACCCCGCGGCGACCAGGGGGCCGGGCGGGCGAGTGGGATTCACCCGGCCGCGCGTGCTGGTGAGAGAGCGGCGCCGCGGGGTACGCCTCTCGCAGCCGCTTCTGGATGTTCACCGTGGCGAGTTTGACGATGTCCGCCGCCGAGCCCTGCACCGTGGTGTTCACCGCCTGCCGCTCTGCCTGCAGAGGACGGCAACGAATGGAAACGTGCACGGCCTGCCAATGTGTTTTTTTTTGTTTTTTACGGTGAGCGGGTGCGCTTACGTGCGCTTTGGCGTGCGCGTTGGCGTCCGTGATGCCCGGCAGGTATCTCCTGCGGCCCATCAGGGTTTGGACGTAGCCGCTCTTTGCGCAGTTCTTCGCGGTTTCTCGAAGAAAAGCGTTGATCCCTGAAAACAGAAGACGGGACGCGGGACGGGGGGGTCAGCGTTTTGATCCCCAGTGCCGCAAGTGTCCATGTGTCCTCGGGCAATAAACTAAACCCCCAGTGCTCCCGTTGCTGCGACTACAGTGTGTCACTGATGGTCCGGAGGTACCTTTGTATCGGGCCTTGAAGCTCTCTATGTAGCAGGCGGCGTCGTCCTCCTCCACGCCCATCTGCTCCCCCAAAGACTTGGCGCCCATCCCGTAGATAATGCCATAGCAGATCTGCCGAGACAAAGACGCGGCGGTGAGCGTTTTGGCGCGAGTGTCCACGTCCGCGTCCCTTTCCTGCGCAGCTCTACCTGCTTCGCCTGTTGCCTGAGGTCGTCCTGCACAGACTCCGGGTCGACGCTTTTCCACTCCGCGGCGATGCAGCGGAACACGTCGGCTCCCCCGTTCAGCACCTGTCGGAGGCGCACACACACACACACACGCCGTCATTTCGTTCCACCTGTTCCGCTGGTGATCGTCGCGCGACGTCTCCTTTTTCGCGAGTCGCAGACCTGCAGGAGACGCTGATCCTTGGAGAGGTGAGCCAACACCCGCAGCTCCAGCTGGGAATAGTCCGCTGCCAAGATCATCCCGCCTGTGGCACACGCCGGAGGGTTTGTAGAGTCATTCACAGACAGAAAAGGAATAATATATATGTGTGTGCGTGTGTTCATAGCAACCTGAAAAAGGTACGAAGGCGTGTCTCATGCTGACGGAGAAGGCCGGGCCTTGTATCGCGCAGCCAGCTGCAGCTCGGGGCACCACCGAACGTCTCTTCCTTCTGTAAAGAATCACCGTGAGGTTAGATGGATAAATGCCCAACTGAATGTCCAAATGTATATAGTATGCATACATATAAAGCAGAGACGGCGTTCAGTCAGGACGTCCAAAGCTGAACCTGACATGGAAATGAGAACTAAGCAACCCTCTAGTTGACCAACTATGAAGGCGGCTGAAAAACTCAGAGTGGGAGTAAAAAGTTACGAGAAGCCCCTTATGTTCCTCGCTGCTGATTTAACCCCTCTTTGAACTCTTGTGTTGACCTACCCGGATCTGGAGGTCACGTGACAGCCGCCCTGTGACGGCGGGCTCTCCCCCACCACGGTCGCCATGTGAATCTCAAAGTCTTTGGGGACATTCTGCACGTTGGGCTCCGTGAAGCTGACTCTACCTGATTAACAGAAAGAGCACCGCATGCTCTCAACACACTTCCATTCATTTACAAATGATGTCACGGTGTGTCTTCATGGAACATTATCAGCCGGCGTGTGTGTGTGTGTGTGTGTGAGACCTGTGGCTGTGTGCGTCTGGGCAATAGGGTGTATTCTGTCCATGGCCAGTCCGGTGTGGTACCGCTTCTCCCTCTGCAGGGGGAACACCACTTTGGTCAAGGCGTTGGTGATCCGCCTCCACTCCAGAATGACGCCCGGCAGTGGGTGCAGGGGGCGGAGCTTCTCCAGAACATCCTGCCAAACATCACGCTTCTGTTTCAGCATACGTTCCATGTCATCAGTGGTCCCATATCCCAACGCGTGGTAAATAGCGATGCGATTCCACTGAAGTACGATGAATCCCCAAAAGCCATTTCATAGAACTCGTGTACTTTACCTTGGTGGTGCTGAACTGCTTGCCGAGTCGTACCCGCCCCCCCACTCCTCTCCTGGTGTAACCCAGAGTCTTCTTGCTCTTTGGTCCGCCCACGTCCCCGTTGGGAGGCAGGTGTAGATCGAAGAACAACACCTGCAGGGGGACAGGGGAGTCCCAGAATCCTACATTTGACCGTTTCATCCGAGAGGACCGCGCTGGGATAGAGAGACGCGTCCGTACCTGTGCCACGTCGTCGACGCTGGTGAGGGAGAAGCTGTGCCCGGCCAGGTCGTACGCCTGGGACTCCAGCGCCGCCAGTTTGGCTTGCATCACGTGTTTTTGCCTTTCCGACTCCTGGACGCTGAAGCCCATTCCGTTCAACTCCAACACCGCCAGAGACACCTGGGAGGGCATCTCCACGCTTCTGAATACACCTGAGACACACACGCATGCCCGTCTTAGCGCCATTACCGCCGCGGCGCCGTTCTATGAGCGCCCCTTCGCCGTGTCTGCTCCTGTACCTAGCATGCCGTCCTTCTCCAGCAGGCCCGCGAGGTGGTTCATGACAGAGAGCGCAAGCACGCTCTCGGTCGCCGCCCTGACGCGGGGGCAGTGCGCGTGTGCGTTCCCAAGGCCGTCCAGCAGAGGCAACTCTGCGGGACAGTAGACGGTCACCATGTTGGGTAGCGTCCTCTCCTCGCTGCCGGGGTCCAGCAGCCAGCACGCCACCTGCGGCGAGGATGCGGCGCATCGTCACGGCACTATCTGACATTTTACCGAGGGCTCCTGGCGACAACATTCATGTTTTGTTCCGAAACACTCACCTTGGGATCCTCGCTGCTGCCCCCTAAGCTCACGCCGCAGCTCAACACAAGCGACTTGTACACCTCGATGATGTCATACGCCACGACCACGCTCGCCCCGTGAGCGGCTGCCGGCGCCGTCAGACAGGTCTTCGCCCGACGCAGCCGCTCGCCTACGGTCAGGTTGTGGTCCAGCGGGGGCGGGGCCAGACTGGAGCTCAGCCCTGAGGGGAGGACACTTGTTGAAGAGAGCCGGCGCGCATGTGGACGCGTGTCCGCGTGTTCGTACCTTTGCTCTGCTCTTGCTGCAGGGAGACGTAGTACGCGTCTCTTGCTCCCCAGCAGACGGCGAGTCCGATCAACACCAGCCCGTCACGGCCTCTTACCGGGAAGCCGTCGCCGCTGTGGAGCTTTGGTTGAGCTGCTGACGCTGCACAGGAAAGACGTGAATGATGACGAGCGGGCAACGTGCAACGTGCAACATGCAACACGAGCTTTGCTCAAAATGTGTCATGTCACATGTGTAGAAGTGTATTACCTCTCTTGGGTTTCCCTATTTGCTCCTCCGGCTTCTGCCCGTGCTCCCTCCTCTCACAGGCCAAAGCCAGGGAGTAGCGCTCCTTTGTCTTCCACTCCTTAACGAAAGCGTCAAAGAGGCGCCGGTCGCTCGCCACGTCCACGATGGAAAACGACCCGGAGCAGCTGGGAGTGAGTGACGCATCCTGGGGCTGCTGGAGAGCAGATGCCCCCGCCGCCTCGGGCGACTCCGCAGCAGGAGGAGGAGGAGGAGGCTTCGGCTGGGGGGAGGCGGGAGACGGGCTGTGGCGCGGGCGGCGCCGGCGGTCGGGATCCGACGTGGAGTCGGGCCGCTTTGTGCGAGCGATGGCTTCCGACGGAGGGTCGCCGTGTCCTGTGAGGGACCCGGGACGCTTTGCGATGGCCGGTTTCCGCGGCCGCAGGGTCGAGGAGGCCGACCGGTCGATGGGTTGAGCGACGAGAGGCGAGCGGACGGATGAGGTGGTGAGTTTCACCCGGGGGGTGACGGGCGCCGTTTCCTGCGTCGGGGGAATGAGATCTCCGGCAGAGCCCGGTCTCTCCGCTGCGCTCTTGGGGTCGGATTCCGCCTCTGGAGAACCGCTCCCCGCGGCCCGCGCGTCCCGCTTTGCCCCATCTCGGACGCCCTGCGTCAAGGAGGGAGGTCGATCGGGAACGCGTGGCGTATTTGCAGCGTTTTCGCAGGCTCCCGAGGCCGCTGTGGTGTTTGGCAAAGGCTGGTCGGACATACTGGGCCAGCGGTCAAAGATCTCTTGCAAACCATGGCTGCAAGAAAAAGAGCTTTCGGTCGATTCCTGGACTTGTTTTAAAACTGCATCAGCTGAGAGCAGAGTGTTGATTTCCTCCGTCTCTACATTTCCACCCTCTTCATTCGCCACTTCCTGTCTCCCGCCACGTTTAGTTTTGCGTGCAAGGCCTTGACCGTTGTCCTCGTCGTACTCATTAGGAGACGTGGTCGTTGTGGTGGGTTCGGGTTGTGACTCCGACGGCGGCTCCGTGGTCCGAACGTCCTCGCCGCCGGGTCGCTGACCTTCCTCGGTTCCCTCGGACCTCCTGAGCAGGCTCCGTCTCTCCAGAAAGCGCTCGCCGACCAGCAGCGAGTCGCCCCACTCCGACAGGTTGAAGGAGGACTCGCCCCACTGGACGGCCTCCTGCCTTTCCGCCTCCTGGTTGGCGAGAAGCTCACTGCGCCTCCGCTCCTGGGTCGACGGAGGCGGGCCTCCGACCTCCCGGCCGGCGGGCTCCTCTTCTTCGTCCGACTGGCCGGATGTCGGCGGCGGGCTCAGACAGGGCGTGGAGCTCCCGTGCAGGCTGTCAAACAGGAAGCTGCTGCTTCTGTTGATGCTCTGGTCATCGCCTCCACCTTCAGCGCCGTCATCCCCACCAGGACCCGCAGAGAGCTGTAGGAAACATTTGGACTCATGAGAGGAAAGCTGCCTTTTTACATCCGGAGAGGAACGGAGGGTTCTGAACACTCACCGGGGGGCTGCTGTCGAGGATGAGCTCCATCTGGCTGTCTGTGATGGAAATGTTGAATCTTGGACGTGCACTACTTCCCTCGTGTGCCGCCGCCGCCGTTTCCTCCCCCCTGTTCTCCTCCGATCCTGCTGACGGATGGCCGATGGTCCCATCTTGGCGCTGAACGATGAGTCTCTCCGTCTGGGTGTCCAATTCCAAGCTGTCGCCGAAACTCTCCTCCCCCTTCCTAACGGGCCCCTCGGCTTCTTCTTCATCCGCCGCGTACAGCTCAGGGGACGAGAACGTATCCGCCTCCCTGCTGTCCGTCCTGCGGCGCTTTGCCTCGGGGGAGAACAACGGAACGGGGGCCGGGCTGGCGTCCCGCGGGGAGTCTAGCCTATCTGCCCTGGTCGTTCGAGCAGCTCGACCGTCTCCAGGCGACGGATTTTGGACTGAGGGAACCGCCGAGGGCTCGACGGGATCCTGCGGGCCTTTGTCAGTTTGTATGGAGTGGAGGACTTTCCTTAAGGCTTTCGAGTGCTTCAGTCGTCCCGGCTGCGCGGGAGACTCGGCGAGCTCCGAGGTAGGAACTCGGTGGCGTTCTTCCCCGCGGGACACCGGCGCTCTAAAGCGGGGGGCGGGCATTGGGGCGGAGGAGGGCTGAGGATGCGCCTCTGACGGAAACAGCGGGCTGGAAACGATCTCGGCCAACTCCTGCGTCAGGCTCCTTTCAGGACCAGGACGGGTCCCTGGACACGTCTCTGGTCCAACCGGGACGCCCCCTTCTTTCGGCGCCAATTCCTCACACCGCTCGGATCGGTCGTGCGCTTCTCTCTTTCATCTTCAGAGTCATCCGCCGTCGCTGATGTTTTATTTGCCCCCGCTTCTCTCCCCTTGCACTGCGTTTACCGTTTGTCTGATATCTGGCGCCGCCCCGTCTACCCCTCTAGAGTTCCCTCGGCCGCCTCCTTCCGCTTTCTCCATTTTATTTCCGGACATCGCTCTCTCAAATCTATTCGCCTCCCCGTGTCCGGCGGTATCTCCACCCTCCCTTTCCTCCACCCCGTCTCCTTCCTGGACATCTTTTGCGTTGTCGCCCCGCGCTTCCTGTGAGGTGCGACGCATTGCAGACCGGGCGTCCGGGCCGCCCCGCGCAGCAGGAGCCCCCGGTGGGACAGCCGTCGGGTCCCACTCGACTCCCAACTGCGCCAGGTCTTCCCGAAGGAGCAGCCTGGCCTCGGAGACGATCTCGGAGGCGGCCTCCGGCTCCGTCAGGGCCCGGCCGCCGGTGACCCAGACGCAGCGGAGGCCCCGGCGCTCGGCCGCCTCAACCTCGCTCTCGTCCACGGCGCGCTTCGAGCTGAGACGGGGCAGACAAGTGCGTCAGCGGGAGAATGTGGCTCGGTGTGCGGATGCTAGAGTTTAGCCATTGTTTGGTTTCAATAGAAGTGGATGGACTTGCGTCTATGCCCTTGACCTTTTTCAAAATAAGAGAGGCCGGGTAATGTAGTAATGTACACGCCAAACACATTCAAATGGAAAAGGCCTTGATTCATGTCTATGACAACTCATTTTAATATTTTGTATTTGATTATCATTATTAGTTCTTGCTAAAAAAAAAAAATCAAACATATTAACTACATGGCTTAATATGTGTATAATATATATATATATATATACACATATTAAGCCATGTAATATCCATTTAGGTTTTACTTTTAAATAATTATATATATATATATATATATATATACATATATATTATATATATAATTATTTAGAAGTAAAACCTAAATGGATTCCCTGTTTTAGGTGTATATACGTGATTGGAACATGCTAGTTTCTAGTTAGGACTTCATCCAATCCCCATTTACCAACATGTCATTAATAATCCAAAATGGTGAAGCTACCTCTTGAACGGGACGGCGTTCCTCAGGGCTTTCTCCACATCGGCCGCTGTAGCCCGGGCCAGTTCAGCGACCGTGCAGAGGCCCTGCGCGTACAGCGCTCTGGCTCGTGTGGCGTTTAGCAGGGAGACCCTGACGAGGTCCACCAGCTCCCTCTGGACCCCGAAGCTCAGCCGGGTCTGGTACTGGGACAGCAGCAGCTCCATGTTGTGCCAGCCCAGGCGCTTGGAAAACACCATCACCATACCTGCAGGGGGTGGTGGCACGGTGAGAGTGATTCTGTGCGTTAGAGGCACAGAATCACCGACGTGTCGCTGTTTGCTTCCAATTTCCTTTGGGATTCTTGCGTTTGCACTGATAATAAACGCCGTTATTAGCGTGACATTAGCATGACTACTCGCACAAAGACCAACTTGTGCCGTGCCACATACAAGCACACGCCCTCTCAGTCTGAATGACATGCACGCCTCCCGAACCCTCCCAAAGTAACTTGATGAAAGAAGCGTTTTATATAGCTGCACGCTGTATACCCGAGTTACTGCCTTCCCTTTTTGATGGAAAGTCTCATGTCAGGGTCCGAATATTCCACTGCGTAACGCGTCCTCGACTTGTACCTGCATAAGTAGAAGCAGACTGCTGGAGGGACTGCAGCTGCCCGCGGTTGCAGTTGTATTTCGAGGCCACTGCTCCCAGAGGCACCTCGTTCACCAGATCGTGCAGCACAAGGGTCGTGAAAAAGCTGGGAGGAGAAAATGGGATTTAGTCGTAGATATTGAGTAGTTAGGGTCTCTACTGTGAGTCACCTTTTTATCCATAGAGACACTTCAGTGAGCAAAAAGGAAGCAATAAAGACACAATACAAATCAGGAAAACATCCCATCCATAAACTAATGAATAATAAGTATGTATGAAATATAATGTTCCCTAATTGTATTGCACCAAAACATTATAAGCTTCACAAAGGCTTTATTGTCCACTTAATTGTGCTCCTCTTTCCATACTAGTATATTAGCGCACACAAGTGTGTAACTGTGACTTCAATTTAATAGTAAATAAGAAAGAAAATGTCCACGCGTTGTCACGACATGTTTACAGCACTCATATCTTGGCTTATTTTACCAACCAAGTGTACGTGACACAAACATGGGCTTTACCGCTTGTGAACAGCCATCTGCCGCCGCTGCTTCTCCGTCTTGGCGACGAGTTTCCCGCCGACAGATCTCGCCAGGAAACCTTCCTGGACGCCCACCAGCTCCGCTACTCTCTTCATCGACGACGACAGCTGCTCCCACTGGCAGAAGAACTGGTACCAGTCTATGGTGGTCCACTCTGCGTGCAAGGGCGTGATCTGAGGGGCATTTGCACGTAGAATTAGAAATAGTGTGCGTTGGAGGAGGGGGCGTCGTTGGTTTCTCTAGTTACTCCTGGGAACGTACAGGGCGAGGGGATGCATGACGCAAAGGTGCGCGTACCAGATAGAGAATGTGCAGGTCATTTTCAAGCACAAAGCCCTTCATGGCCCGTTGGAGATCTGCAAATATTCCCAGAGCCTCGGGAGGCGAGAGGGACGAGGAAAGGGTGGCAGCACCGAGTTGGGTCGGATGGTAGCGCTCCGCTGCACGTGTGAGGACATGAGGACATACAATCGGGATTGTGAGGGGAGAGGAGGTCAAGCTTATAGCCTCGCTTGTATACTTTATTGTGAAATATCGTATGATGCGTGGATGAGGAAAATGCCAACATCGTTCTTTGGCACTTGTTCCGATCTGAAGTAAAGATATATTGTGCACAGATTTATACTTGTATGTTTAATTATCAGTATTCAAAAAAAGTCTTTATTTTTTGTACACTGTCTGTCTAAATAAACCTTTACATGACCTCTGAAAAAGTTGTTTCAGCGTGTTTTAATGGAACCGTTTTGCTACCTGGGTCTCTGTTTGACTTCCTGTCAGCTGATCTCATTCAGGGTGCGAAAACCTTACTTTGTCATCACGTTGTCAGGACACCGTGGCCGTACCTTGTCCGTCCTTCTGGACGCTGATAAATTCGTTCTCCATCAGCCATTCGACACAGGCCTCTATAGCGCCTTTGTTGGTGTCCTCCATCGCCGCTTCTTTGCCGTTCCTTTTCACGCTGGCAGCCAGCAGCGAGCACAACGCATACGAGCGCACATCCTGTGGAGTGCTGGCCACCCCGCCGACGATGATCTGCGCGTCGGGACGATTCAAACGGTGTCATCAAGCCATGATGGAGGGAAACTAATCTGACTTAGGCCTCCGTGCAGAGGGGCATCTAGCATTAAAGAGAAGAGGCCTCACCTCTAAGATGGCTCGCAGCATGCTGGTGGTGACTCCGTCTCCCTCCCTTCTCACCAGGCAGCTGCTGATTGGCTGAAGAACGCCCTTGAGGAGGATGATACCTTTCTGACGCTCCGCCTCCTTGCACACCAGCACACTCTCGCCTGAGAAGAGGGCGGGCAAAATGACGCGAGGCCCAGAGGAGAGACGTTTTGAAAAGGTGCGTCCTTCTTCTTCCCTCCGTACCTATGGTGTCCACGCCTTTTCTCCCCGCCCGCCCTGCCATCTGTTTGTACGTGAGCGGGTCCAACAGGTGTCCATTGAAGGTCGGGCTGCGGATGATGACCCTGCGAGCCGGGAGATTAACCCCCGAGGAGAGGGTGGAGGTCGCGGCCAGGACTTTAATGGTGCTCTGACGAAAGGCTCCCTCCAACACGTCGCGTTCATCAAACGTCAAACCTGCAGAGACCAACTTCATCTTATTCGCACGACCACGGGAACAAAAAAAATAAAAATAACGAAAAAGGACATTTGGCCGCAGTTAGTTTGAGCGTGTTCACCGGCGTGGTGGAAGGCCACCCCCCACGGCACCGTTCGCTGGAGGGTCGGGTCCAAACCAGCTGGAGTTCGTCTCAACTGGGCCACGACGTCCACGAGTCCCTCCCGATCCAGACCCACCGGCTTCGGCTCTGCTTCGCCCTGACGATCTGAAATGGAATGAGACCACGACCTTTGACAATCCTTCTGAAGCGCGACGGCCTGGACTTGGTGGTCGCGGTTTAAAACCCACCGGCGTGTCGGAGGTTGTAGAATTCTCTGGCGATGCTGTCCGACAGCTTCTCACACCAGTTCTTTGAGGGGCAGAACAGCAGCACCGAGCGGCCCTCGCTCACCGTCTCGTAGCACAAGCTCACTATGTGGTCGTCGTCGCCCTTCCAGAGTCACACGCGCACAATAGCATTACTTGCCCTGAAAGGGTCAACCGCGCTTGGACGCCATGTGACCCCGCTCCCTCGGTTACCTTAACGCGGAGAGCCGGAGTGAACCGCCGGACGGCGGCCAGGCTCTTGTCGTAGATGTCGCGGCCCACCTTGAGATGCTCATGCAGCGGTACGGGCCTGTAGTCCGTCTGGTAAAGCTCTGCACCCAACCAGCTGGCCAGGAGGGCGAGGTTCGGCAAGGTGGCGCTCATGCCCACGATCTGCACGCCCTCAGAGAGAGACCTGCGGAGAGGTGTAGTTGTGCACAAACAAGACTTTTATTACACTCGCTTACACACAAAATGAGAGTAGGAAAAGACAATCGGGACACAAACCCAGTGGCGTTCTGCTTCTGCGCTATGTAGCGGATTTTGGTTAAGAGCAGTTCTAGTAGGTATCCTCTTCCAGAGTCACCGACCATGTGCAACTCGTCCACCACCACCATACCTAGAAGTGCAAAAATGAGTCGAACCCTAGTGTCAGTGATGAGGAAAGCCCCCTGTTATCCCGGTGTGTTACCTAGCAGAGCCATGTCGTCCTCCTCAATGAGCCTGTTAACGAGAGAATTGGCCTTTTCGATCGTGCACACGGCCACATCCAGCGCTGCGAATCCTCCAGCAGCCGAGGTGCCGCCCATGTATCCCTCCACGCGAACTCCTGCCTCTTCAAACACGCTCTGCAGGGTTCACGGATGCACATTGGTGACATGCAGACACGTGCGCAGACAACGGACACAGTGCAACCAGTGCAACGTGCGTTCACGGGGTTTCTCTCCCTCACCCGAAGGTAATGCATCTTCTCTTTAGCCACGGAGACGAATGGCAGTATGAAGAGAGCCTTTCTTTTCGTCTCCAGCACGCGCTTCAACATCAGCAACTCCGACACCAAAGTTTTACCCGCACTCGTGGGGGCTGAAAAACAAGGCGCGTTAACAGCAGCGGGTGCAGGCGGACGCCTTCACAGAGAGGCGGCGTGCTCCTTACCCGAGTACACCAGGTTGCCTCCCTGCAGCGCCTGTCCGACAGCGAGGCACTGAGCCTGCCATTCGAACATGTGGGTCACGCCGTGTTTCTGGTAGCACGCCAGGACAGCCTTTGGTAAGCCCCAGTTGCAGAGCAGCAGCTTTTCGGCTTGCCCCGCCGGAGCACAGAAGGCGATGCCTGTGGTGGAAATCACGTGGTGTTAAGTCAATGTGGTGGGAGGAGTCTGAACTCCTACAACATGTACTTTCAGCGTATTTGACGTGGGAAAATAAATGCAGTTTTAGGGACTACATTTGTGATACAAGCTAATGTTAGATGTTTAGTGAATTATAGCTACCACTACAATATATTGTAATGTTAAAGGCTACATAACTGCCCCCAGACCCCAAAACCTTGAAGCTTCTTTCAAATATTGCACCATTTTTTACGGTTTTTGCTTTGTCAGTTTAGTGGTGATATTGTGAAACTATTTTAAATGAAGTGGTGTTTCTCGCCTCTGTCATTTTTTAAAAAAGATTTCCAAACTATTCTGCTATTTTCTAGCGGGTTAATCAAGCTGCGACAAGGAGTCAAGGAGGTCAACGACACACAAACACAGAAGAAGGACCTCGAAGAAGGTTTTCACGAATGGACCTCACCTTGCTGAGGCAGCGTGTCGCTGAGAGTGCTCAGGTCCAAACCGCTGGGGACCACGAGCACAGAAGCGGACTGGTTCTGGAATGACGGCTGGAGTTTGGCCTTCTTCGCCGCGGCTGCGAGGCGGCCCGGGCTGAACAAGATGTAGTCCCTGGACACATCCAGGGGTGGATCGGCCTCCACCTTTGACCCGCTAGGTGGAGAGCTTTTTCTCCTGGACGGAAGCTTCTGCTCACTGAGACGCACAAAGAAAGAAAAGTACAGCAGCGGGCGATTGAAAGTAGGAGAACAAATGACAACGCAACAATGTGTACGTCAACACTCACCTGCTGGAGCTGCCTGCTTGCGGAGCGTTTTTTATGCCCTGACGGGACGTTGCGTTGATGCGGGAGGAAGCCGGTGGGGGCCGGGTGTCCTCCGGGCCCCTCGGAGCGTACTCCGCCTCCTCAGAGTCCTCGCCGAAGAGAAGCCTCTGTGCCAGGTCTTTGCAGTCGGCTCGCCCTCCCGGTCGCTCCCCGTCGCCAACAGGCCCCCGGCCCCCCTCCCGGGTGCCGCGGTGCGGCGCTGCCGGCTTTTTCCGCGCACCCCCGTTTGGCGTGGTCGGACGCGCAGGCCTCACCGGGTCTACGGCGTCCGACACCTGCAGAATTTCTTCGTCGAGAGCCGATGTGGATTCTCCCGCTCCTCCGTCCTTGAAAGTGGCGATTTATACATGTCGAATCAGCGACCCAGGTGGACGTGGGAGAGAATCAGGGATGATTATAAGAGGGAAAACTCCATCACTCACCGAGAGGCCGTCTTTGCTCATGTTCGATTTGCCGGATACGACGTGGGGTTTTTGGACCAGCCTGCTCCCGTCAGCAGCTTGGAAACTGGGTGAGAGATGACGTCATCTTTAGACACGCTGCACAGACTGGAGGCTGTCACTAAGCAACAGGAGGACACTTCTGAATCCGTCAACATTAGTAATCAAGTGGAGCCGTGGGACGAACGTACCACTGCTTCTTCTTGACCTGGTGCTGCCCCATGTAGCTCTTCTTCTTCGAGGGAGGACCTGAGGTGCTCATGCTGAAGAAGATCTACTGGTTCCGTCATAGGTGGGAGTAGGCGGACGCTCACTAACATGACATCAGTTCGACACGAGTTTACAAGCTAAGTGAAATCTAACGGCGTGTGTTTGTGGTGAGGGAGCAGCAGAGGAGACGCGCGGCGCGCTGAGGACACGAAGTACAAACATCACAGACGTGATGGAGGGCAGACGGACCCAGCGCCGCACAGCAAAATCAAAAAGTCCGCCGGAGTGCGGTGCGCCATAAAAAAACAGTCCGACGAAACAAACGCTCGCATGTGAAGGTTCCCATGAAGCGCCAGCGCACTGCTGCAGAGACCACTGTCAACGTGCCGCGATACCTGTAAAGTGCCCGACGTGTGGATCGATGCTCGTCGTGTGCTTAATGGGATGAATAAGAGCATAGAAATGTTGACATCCATAATCAATTTTAAGATGGGTAAATATTTTACAAACCGTCCATGATAAAGTTTCACCTTGTAAAATAGTTTGGAGCTGTCAACAGTACGGATTATATGCGCTAACGTGACGTGCAAATGTAAGAATGAAGCAATTAAGGTCAAACAGATGAAAAACACATTTTTGAAGGGTTTGTATTTAAATACAATACACACTTTGAACTGTAATATGAAGATTCGTTGAATGTATTACTGTCGATATATTATTCAGATTCAGTTTATCAAGCGGTCATAGTATCATATCAATGGACGGGAAGGCAAAGGTTTACGACTTCAGCGGCACCATTGATGAATGCATATTTCTGTTCTCCGCGGTGCAGGGTGCCCGGATGTGAGTCCTTGTGGGCGGGGCTTCTCGGGGAGTAGGGCGTGAGCGAGCGTCTGGGGGGCGCGCCTGCTGCGACGTTGCGGAGGCTTCAAGATGGCGGAAGCCCTGACAACTCAGGAGCAGCTGGTAAGCGTCTCTTTATGGATGGTTTTCCTCATCTCCCCGTCATGTTCAGTGTGCACACGTGCCACCGTCGGTTTCTTCTGTGACCGGGGATCCTGTCCATGTGTTTTGTCCCCTGGAACAACACGGTCTTGTAAACAAGCGCTGGCCCGTTAGCACCCTCCCGAGCCGACTGGCTCCTGTGTGACTGACAGTAGTTAGCATGTGTGCTAGCTCGAAGGCGTTTGCTAGCAGTACGAACGGCTCACCTATTAACCAGCCGTGTATCACGAAGACTCGCTCCCATGATAAGCCAGCTTTGCGCGGGTCACCGGTAATGTCACGTAGCGATACGTCGTTGCCTCATACATGTGGCTTGTCGTGTCTTTAGACCGTATCTTCAGCCACCCAGCTGCCACATGTAACTTAGCTGCTAGCAAATGCTAACGGCTATTGTTGACTTGCAGCGAGTTTCCTCGACAGCCCCCTTTTACGTGTGAAAACCCCTACTTGCGTGACGTTCATATATGACCAAACAGTCATTATTTTAAAGTGTGTGTTTCCATTACGTGCCATGACACCGCTCAGAAGGACAACTGGAGTGTGTGATATGAGCCAACTAATAGCTAACGTTAGCTCGGAGGTGTCCAACGTTATCAGATTTACGGTCGAGAATTCAGAGAAGTGATCCTGCGGTTCCTGACATTGTTGTTGCCGTCTCTTTCTAGTAAAAGGGGCCGGCCGCTTGGGCTTTTATAGCAAACACCCAACGTCACCCAATAGCTGCGATGACAGCTTCGGTGCACAGCGAGGGGGTTTATTCTATCTTCAGCAGGCTAACTGATCTCTACGCGTATTTACAGGACACTTTTAGAGCTTTCCCGATCACCAGATATGCCCACGTGTTTCTCGTTAGCTTTTCCCAGTCTGCCGTTTTAGAACCCTGCTGGAGTCAGCGACTTGTTGCCTTGGATTAACCCCGCAGAGGCGAGCCGCCGTCCCGGTGCTGATGTTCAGGCACTGGTGGTAGTGGGGTCGTTATTTAAAGGTAACCTTCCACGGTACCCCAACTCCTGCAGAGACTTCTGCAGCTTTACAAACGGGTCATGGCAACCTGCATTTAAGGAAAACATGCCAGTACTTAAAAAAAAAAAAAAAACACAATACTTATAATACAGTTTTAAACAGCTGGTTACCTTTCTCTAACATGTGTGTTCAGTCCAGGTGTTGTGATTATACAAATAAATAACCACATATATACATTTGATTTTTTTGTTGACTCATTTTTGTTTTGATGACAATTCCAGACATGGATGTTAGTGATACGTTCTGGTAACAAAAGGAGCTGAGGTTCTATATGTTTTATCCAAGGAAAATCCTCTTGATCTAAGAACAAAATGTATCTTGTAACAAGATGCGCAAGGACTTGGGTGCTTCTTTCTATCCGGCAAAGAATTCACAGGGAAACTCCTGCTTCTGGATTCTTATTCAGGCATCTTCTTTGTTTTGCAACGGTCAACTTTAAGTTTTGTACACAGCTGATGAGTTAATCCGATGTACCCGGTCATACTCTGAGCGGCAGACCGATGCACTCTCACGTAGTCACAACAGGCCGCCTGTTGTCTCCTGGCATTCGAGTGCCCTCGGCATTGTTCACAAGCACAGCCTGCTGCTTCCATCAGCATCATTTAGAGTGACTTTGTAGGGAGAGAGCTACAAAGTTGAGGGCGCTGAAAGACTTGTGTGTTGTCTTTATTGTGTCCGTCGTCCATCTTCTCGCTGTTCTTTTCTTATTGTTGCTATTGCTCTACTAAGCTCGGTTTCTCCTCTTCTGTTTGTTTTTTTCCTCATTGACACAAAATGTGTTGTTTCTAAGGCTGTGGAGGAGTTCCTGGGTGAGGTGCGTAGCAGGGAGCAGCCTCAAAGCGCCGGGCTCGTGTCCCACTCTACAGCTGTAAAGTTTCTCATGGCCCGCAAGTTTGACGTCTCCAGAGCCATCTGCCTCTTCCAAGCATACAAGGTAATGCTGTTTGACCTGTGACCAAACAGATGAATGTTCCCATTATCCACGAAACAGTTTCTCTTATGGCTAAAAGATCTGAGTTTTCAGAACTGACATTTTTCTGTTCTTGTTTGTAGTATGAACTAATAACAAACTCTGCATTTTTTTAAACAAATACAATAAATCCTATAATTTTCTGCAGTTTAAATAATACTGCTGTCAACGCCCGACTCTCAAGTTTCTGACTGGCGACCGTTAATGAAGTGACGAGTTCTCTCCGCTGTAGTGGCATAACCTCTCACTGAAAACGGGAAACCAGCTTGCTTGTTTAGTGTGAAATGTTGAAAAATGCAATCAATCATTTTCGGCTGCTGTTTGTTTACCTTCTATTTTGAGTTGCTAATGACCGCCTCTGTCGTCATGCATCCAAATCAGAACACCAGAATCAAAGAGGGCATCATCAATATCAACCCCGACGAGGAGCCCTTGCGCTCCGAGCTGCTGAGTGGCAAATTCACAGTCTTGGTGAGTGCGGAAGGAATTGGAAACCACCCTGCGGGACGCACAGAGAATGATGCACGCACGGGTCATGTGTATGTTGGGTCTGCGTGTGTATCCCAGCCTTTGTGTCTTTTTATAAACGGAAATGTAGTAAAAATAGTTTGCATGTCCCCTGCAGCCCGGCCGTGATGCGAAGGGTGCCGCTCTAGCGCTCTTCACAGCTCGCCTCCATCGGCCGGACGTCACTTCCCACAAAGCTGTGCTGCAGGCCATCATCTATCAGCTGGACAAAGCCATAGAGAGGTGATGCCCTGATCCGTCATACATACAACCGAGTATTGCCCAATGTCTCGTGCAATCACTTAGATTGTTTGGGTCAGAGTTGGCTCACCTCCCCCCAGACACCTGCGTTTCATCAACCCTGGCAGACATAACCACTATTGCTGCTTTGTGCATGTCATGGAAGTCAGATACATAAGACAACCATACATCGTCCTCTTTAGCGTCATAACATCATCTAGAGTACAGACCAGTGTATTGAACATGCCACAAGTCGGCAGGTTTGCTACAGCAATGTCTACCCCCCCAAAAAAGGATTTAAGAAAAAGAATGAGAGAAAACGTCTGGATTCCTGGTTCTGTCGTGTCTGGATGCAAGACTTCAGGCAAAAACAATCAAAATGCTTGTCTTCTAATAAGAGGTTGGTGCAATCGGTTCCAGGCTATGCTTCCATTCATCAACGCCCAATAAACATTATGGTTTATACCTTAAAGGTCTATGGATTATAAACAAAGATGAGCCCTGGGTGCCCACAAATGGCTACAATCTGTTTTTCCTTCATTTGTGAATCAACAATGTCAGCAAGTCAGAGATCGCAGTATTCCAGCGCTGACACAGCTTCATGCACATTTTGCACTTGAATGTGCGTTTTATGTGAACATACTCCAAGCGTTTCTCTCAAAGTAACGCTACAAAATGATCTGCATTGCTTACGGCACACTCCTGTTCCTTCTTTGCTCAACAGTGCGCAAACTCAAAAAGACGGACTCATATTTATCTACGACATGACCAACTCCAGCTATGGCAACTTTGACTACGAGCTCTGCGTCAAGATCCTCAATTTGCTGAAGGTAATGGAGGGAGCTTGTGTTGCTCTCAGGTTGCCCTGCCTACTGTTTCCTGGTGTCAAACCGCTGCGTCTCAAATCAAGAGCCCTTTTCATCACTTGTATGTTCCCTAGGGGGCGTTTCCAGCTCGTCTAAAATGTGTCTTCATTGTGTCGTCGCCTCTATGGTTCCGAGCCCCTTTCGCCGTCCTCCGCCTGTTTGTGCGCGAGAAGCTGAGAGAGCGGGTATGTCTGTGTTTTGTTTTCCCCGTGAGTTCCGCCGCCTTGTCGTCATTTCAACTCTTCTCTCCTCCCCGTCGACCAGGTGTGCACAGTGAAAGCTCACGAGTTGGCCACTCACATCCCCGTCTCCTCCCTCCCCGAGCACCTGGACGGGACGTCCCAGTACAACCACGTGGCGTGGATCCAGTCGTGCGTCAACGCGCACACAGACAACGCTCCAGGCGACGCGCGAGATCACGACGCGCGCGATTGCGTGGGAAGCCTTCTGCGCTCTTACAGCTTGGAGAGCAGCAACGCGGGGGCCACGCCCCCCCGCGCCCACATCGCCACGCAGCTCGGTTCGGAGTTAGCCGTGGCTAACTCAAACTGCTACGATGACGGCAACGCCAACTTGCACAACCACTGCGGTGTTTCTGAGGGCAGGACTCAGTACCCAGCGAGCCCGCAGTCTGCCGCCAACGGGCCGCAGGGGAACCATCAGCATTGGAACGGCTCCGCGGTGAGCGGGACCGGCGGCTCGAGCCCTAACGTCAACATGAATGGCCGTGGCCGGCCAGCCCCGCCGCAGTCTGACACGCCCCCCGACACGCCGCTCTCCCAGGACATGGTCGATGGGGAGGTGGCGCGCTCCGCCGCCGGGTCTCAGAGTGAGGAGGAGGAGGAAGAGGAGGATGGCGAGGAGGAAGGGGAAGAAGGGGTCCCACCGTTGCCCCAGAAGTCGTTGCCTCGCACTGCCCAACAGCCGCCCTCCCAGTCGCCGCCCCTGTCCTCGTCGTGGGGCCCCGAAGACGAGGACAATGGCGTGGAAGTGTCCATTCACGTGCCAGAGCAGGGGGGCATGACGGTGCACGACCTGGTGGAGCACGTGAAGAGACAGAAGAAGAAGGGGATTTACCAGGAGTACGAGGAGATCCGGAAGGAGCCGCCAGCCGGCCCCTTTGATTACTCCAAGTAAGGGGGAAAAAGTTTCCATTTTCTTCTGTGCGCTTGATTGTCTCTTTGAACCGAAGCGGAGACATCAGCTGTTTCTTGTCTCGTGTCACCATGGTGTCTCAAATTTCGCCCTCCACAGAAAACTGTCCAATCAGATAAAGAACCGGTACAGCGATGTCCTCTGCCTCGACCAGTCACGGGTGCGGCTCTGCCAGCTCTGTGATGACGAGGACGAGGTATTTAAGTGCCCGGCAATCTTCACCTCTGTGATGTCACTGGTCTCTGGGTTCATTTTGCTCACAACATCTTCTCCACAATCTTTTACTTGGTTGATGATGAATGATCTTAGGGATGTTTGACGTTGCTGTCAACATCAGGCCTCTGGTCCACCTTCGTATAAGAAGAATGTTCTGGTTACTAGTTAGAGAATGTAACGTTATACTTGGAAAACGGCGATAAAAGAGATCAGCGGTACACGTCCATGTTTGGCCATTTGGCTCGGTTCTCTGGTGTCTTCGCCTGTCCTGATCTGCTGTATCTGATACGCGTGTTTGGAGGTGGAATGCTCCACAGTATCATATTCAGTGGGTTTTCTGTGGTTAACGGGAAAGGCTTGTTTTTTTTGGCAACGTGTGTCTTATTTTTGTAAAACGACTACAATGTTGTTGTAATATTGGCAAAAAAGTCCTTCAGACCAAATCGCAACATTGTTGTTACTGGAACTTAAGTGGATCTGATAAGCTCAAGAATTTTAAGATGTGACTACAGCCGTAAAGTCTGGTCTAATAAATAGGACTTTAGCATTAGGTCTGTAATCAGTGATGCTGATCTCTGATGAGGCTTCATAGAGACAAACAAATCTGTGAGCAGAACCGGAGCTAACTTACCGAGGTTCTGTTGAGTCACATTGTGATCTGTTCACTCGTAATTAAGTGAGTATTTTGGGAGGGAATTATTAGTTGGAACAACTGGTCTTACAGAAAGAATCACGACATGTTACACTTCCTAACACCAGCTCTATTATACCATTCTTGGATGCCTTATGGTGACTTTTTTTTTCTGCTGTGTTTTGCAGACATCCGATTACATCAATGCCAGCTTCATGGACGGATACAAGAGGAGAAACGCCTACATCGCCACTCAGGGTGAGCAACCAAAACTACAGCTCCATTGTTTGTGGTTACTATGTTATAGTCCCACATGCAATCATCACCATGTCCTCTCTTGTCTGTCCCTCAGGTCCTTTGCCAAAAACATTTTGTGACTTCTGGCGCATGGTGTGGGAACAGATGGTACTTCTCATCGTGATGACAACCCGGTGAGGCTCCTTTTACAGTCAGCGTCAATTCAGTGTCAGAAGTGGTAGCCCAAGTGACAGCATTTCCTCGACTGGGCCCCCATGACGAGATCACAACCAGCATGTTGTTCTGTGCGTCTCAGCGTGGTGGAGCGCGGCCGGGTCAAGTGTGGTCAGTACTGGCCTCTGGAGGAGGGCCGGACCGAGCAGCACGGACACTTCCTGGTCAGGAACACGCACGTCCAGGCGTTCCAGGACTTCAAGCTCTCCCATCTGGAACTATACAACACACAGGTGGGTCACACCACCTGCATTAAGTCCTAGAAAGATCCGTGTTAGTATGAAATAATAAAAGGGCCGTAATATTTGAATAAGAGAACTCCAGGTTGTTGGATGGCTTTGTCAGTGGAATCTGTTTTATGGAGCAAATTCATGTAAGGTAAGAATTTATCTTTGTTGTACATGCTGACCCTGATATTGACCCTCGTCTGTGATCCTCCGCGACTTGTTCTCAGTCTGGAGAGCGACGGGACGTCCTCCACTACCTCTACGTCAGCTGGCCGGACTTCGGCGTGCCCAAAAGTGCTTCGGCCATGTTGGACTTCCGTGAACACGTCCTGCAGAGGAGGGAGGCTGCAGTCAAGAGCCTTGGCTCCAGTTGGACGGGGCCTCCGGGGGGCCCCCCTGTGGTCGTGCACTGCAGTGCCGGCATCGGCCGCACAGGTAAAAAAAAAAAAACCACATTCTTAACAACAAAAACCAAGTTATTTTCTCTTTGATCCATTTTTTTGTAAAAACAATATCTCAGGTATGCGTGTGGGGAAGCTCCTCAAGTTGTGGCACAAACGTCCACACGGGCACAGGGATTCCTTTTTTTTGAATCTGGTGTTTACAAGTCATTTTGACATCTCAAAACAGGTTATGAGGATAACTCAAGGTTCATATCCTAATGACGACACGATCACATGAATACATAAGAGATCAAATAATGAAGTGAGGACATTTTAGACGAGGGCTTTAATAGTTTGTCACCTGCTTAGCCTGTGATTATGTTTAAAAAACAAGCTCAGAATTGACCTGCCCGGGCTTGTTATTGGGTAAATCGATGCTGTTAACCCGTTTTCGTCTGTTTTTATTGTACTTTAATGCTTTTGTTGTTTTCTTGTATGGCCACTTATCACTTCTTGTGAAGTGCTTTAAAAAATACACCGTACTCACTCACCGTGTGTTCCTTCTCCTTGTGTCTCCCCTTGGGTCTGTCCGCCTATGCGTCCGTCCCCGATCAGGCACGTTCTGCACCCTGGACATCTGCCTGTCCCGGCTGGAGGACATCGCCACGGTAGATATCCGGCAGACGGTGCGGCGCATGCGCACGCAGAGAGCGTTCAGCATCCAGACCTGGGACCAGTACTACTTCTGCTACACGGCGGTCATCGAGTACGCCCAGCGCCACGGGAAGCTGAGCCCGGTGCAGTGGTCGGACTCCGACCTCGAGACGGACAGCGAGTGAGGGAGGGAGGAGCCGCGGCCCGCCGGAGTCATGGGAGGACGTTTTGGGTGACTCTTCTGCCGTAAGAGGAGAGACCAAAGGAGGGACATCTCTGTTGTGGATCGTGATGTGATCATACAGACTCCCACGGCTGCTCCTCCTGCTCAACGGATCCACGGGGAGGGGGAAGAGTTCAAAACAGACAGGGAGTGGAGACTGCGTGTCACATCAACGTTTTGAGTAATGGTGCGTTCACACCAAAAGCGAAGCGAATTATTTGCGCGAGTAGATTCAAATTAAGCAAAATAACACGCTTTACTCGCGCGAGTGAACTGGAGCGAATAGTCGCTTTGCTTTTGGCGTGAACGGGCCGTAAGCTGTCCTGCCAATTTCCGAGCCCCTTTTTATTTAGCAAACTACGGGGCCTGAACCTGTCTTGTTGACAAGAGAGTTGTACACGTTGTAGCATTTTTATATTTACTTGCACATGAGGAATGACAAACTTGATCTTTAACCCCTGAAGCCCTCCAAACCCTTTTCATCTGTTTTATTTCTTGCCCCCTTTTTAATGAGGTGTTTCAAACTTAAAGCTCTTTTTATTTTTGGGAAATGTTTTATTTGTGAGCAGATGGTCCTACATGACAGAAAGAAGATCAGCGTGAGCCAATAAGTCCATTTCCCTTTTATCTCCATCCTTTTTATTTTTCCTTTCTATGGTGCATTTTCTACGTGTTTCATATCTGTAAACTAACCTTTCAAAGCCAAAGTTCTCTCCCTGAATGCTTGGATGTACTCCTTACTGAGATATTATAGACTGAAGCTTGTGTACAGTGCCGTGAAAAAGTATTTGACTCATTCCGCGTTTCTTTTTACATATTCGTGTTTACACTTGTTGAACGTTTTGAATGTTTTAGATCATCAAATTTCAGTATTGGACAAAGACAAGCTGAGTAACTGAAAAATGCTGTTTTTAAAAGTGATTTAATTTATCACGGGAAAGAAGCTACCCAAACCTACCTGTGAAAAAGTCATTCCAGCTTCAGGACCTGGACCACTTGCCGTCAGTGATGGAACCACGATTTCTGCTTTCTGCCAGAATATCCCGAAGGAGAACGTCTGGCCATCCGTTTGTGACCGTGACCCCGTTACCTGAACCATTTAAGTGTGACAAATTAGAAACCAGGACAGGGGCGAATCCTTTTCACACAGCACTGTATATTCCTGTAACATTTATTGTGCATAATAACCTCAGAGAAGAGCAAAGGGGGAAAAAAGCCTTGTTTAATAGAATTGAAGAAATATCCATGCAGCGAGCTGTGGCAAAATACACCCGTTCTGTCTGGCACTCAAACTGATACCGTATTGCAAATCGCTGTGTTTGTCGGGTCCAACATCATCGTTACTGTCCGAGCGTTCTGATTGGACGATCCCAAGTAATTGGGCCTTAACGTGATTCACTGCCTCGTCGCTCTAAGACCTAAACCGTACCTGTAATGTTTTAGCCCCTCTTCTTTCCAATCATACTCCTGGATTCCACAACCATAGTTTTTTTTTTTAACTTTTCATTCATGAGGCATGTCCTGCCTTAGATGACTGTGCCTTGAAGTTGTCCTCGACTTAGCGTCCCGCTGGTATAGTGGTGACACTAGCGCGGGACGTCCACACTGCCTATCGTGCTGCGCGTGGTGCGTTGCTCACCCGTCCCGGGGAAGTCGTGAGTAACATCTGGGACGAGCTCCGGTCCGACACGTGGCTGTTGTTTTATGGTTTGACCTCAGGGGGTAATTCTAGTGTTTAGTTGCCTGGTGTCAAAGATCTGTTTCTGGGTTTGCCTCTGGTAAGTTATGGTTTAAGTAAAAAAAGAAAACAAAAGAAAAAAAATATATATTGGATTTATTTTGTATTTTTTACTGTATTGTATCCTCCTATATTTATGTCTTTGTAAAGCTTCTACAATATCTAAATCGGTGAATGTTGGTACGACGCGATGGAGAAAAACAAAGTCATAGCATTTGATAAGCTGAACAAATCAGACGGAGGGGTGATATATATTTTTTTGTTTTTTGTTTTTCACAATGAGGTTTTGGTGCAAAATGTCACTTGCCGTTGTATTTTGAGAACCGATTTGTACGACTGGTGATTGTTCCTCTAACGTAGGCGACGGGGTTTAGTCCATCATGTTTTGAACACAGGTTATTAAACGCAGTAACATTTACATTAACTTGTGATGCTAAGGGAGGAGCAAAACGGAGCCATCGGGAGTATAAAACTTAAGAAATCCCCAGAAGAAGATTGTCATTTCTGTTCACAAAACCCCGGCTTTAGTAAAAAGAGCATGGGTATAGATAGAATGGTTTACGAGCATGCGAAACGAGCCTTGAATGTTTTATCTCTGGGGGCCACTTTAGTCAGGATGGACACGGTTGGTGAACGTGGAGCCGTCGCATCCTGCCCGTCTCTCATCCACAGCAGCCTCACTAGCATGGACCTACCAGTGCAGCCTTGCATCCGGATATGAATAAGAACACTTTACTAAAGACCTTTTGTTATTTTTGTTAACCGTTGGTCATTTAATGTTCCTTTTTTTAAAGTTCTCGTGATTGAATTCTGGCCTTTTACACGCTGTCGGCCCGGCTGCCCCATTAAAGCAACGGTGTTCCCATCACGGCCGAGCTACAGGTTCCATGTGGCGTCTTCTTTGCTCGACTTGGTGAACAAATGAAAGTTCTCCCAGCTAATCGTCACTGCTCAGAGGTGATGTTATTTCACAAAGATTATATAGACCAAACGTCTGATGTTAACGCTAAATGCACAAAGCATTGTTGCCCATCATATTACCCAAAGAGACCAACCGTGAAATACTATTGGACATCTTCAAGTAGTGTAAAGTTTACTGGGGACAGAACTGAATCTTCTTGGATTATTTGTAATGCGTGGAATGTCACCGTTACTCAAGTGAACAATCTAAATATAAATATCAGACACACGGCATATTATTTAGTAGTTTTCAGCTGCTCGGTGTTAAGGTTTCGGAAGCTCTCGAGGGAGGACTCAATCCTTTGTTCTCGTCCCGGCCGGAAACGAGGACACGAATGAGTCAATTCGTTTAAATTCAAAAATCAAAAAGTATTTAATGACTAAACAACGTAGTAGGGATTACAATTACAAAGTGAAATACTAAGCGAACAGTGGAATATTTCGCGAAATAGAGAATCCTCTGAGCAAGTCTAAAGTGACTTTTCAACGCGGCTGCAGGAGAAATTCTAACAGTCTTTCCCCCGCTTTGGTCCTTTGAAACCTCTTGAGGTGTGTCTTCCTTGGTGCATTTGAATGTCATTGGCCTCTTCTCCAAAGGGTCACCTCCTCCATTGTCCCTTCCACGTCGAGGTGTGAAGCTGCAGCTGTAACCTGAAACCTCTCTGTCCATCTGTCCCTCACACTCCAATGCACTCAATGTAGATACATTCGGCTTTATGCCTCAATGAGTGAATTTAACAAAGCATACATCGTTTAAGTCTTCATCTTATAACTAGTACACTTTCATTACAACAACCCATCATTAATGATCACCGTTCATCACACTTCATCCTAAGATCTAAGACAGTTCATGTGGTTCAATTCTCAAGACATTTGCCTCAGTTGGCTGCCTCGCAATAAGTTGTTCATTTATTACCTGACAGGAGAAAAAACTCCCAAAAAACCCTCTTTGGGGATAAAATTGGGAGAAATCCATAAAGAACGGCAATTGGCATCCGTCCCCAGGTTTTAACATCACATTGTGACAGAATGTTAATGTGTACAGTGTTTATATGATTTAAAAGACTATAAACTGTGTTTGATTCACATTGTATTCACTTCATCTAACATGTTAATGTAATAACTAATATCTAACATCGCACAAACTATAATTCTAACACTAAACATTATTACACGTACTATAATTTCCTGACTAGGGGTGCACTTCTGGCTTAAATCCCTAACATCGGCAATGGTTCTTTTGAACAGCTTCAAAATGCATGTCTGGATAAAGGTCTCATTGATGTGACAGCTTTATGAACAGAGATACTTATTATTATTATTATTAGTCCGCTAGCTGGCTGTCTGCCGTCTCGCTACATGTTTAGCATACAGACAACCATAAAAATAAATCTTTCATTTTAAAATGATGAACAGACCCAGTTGCCTCGAGGTAATTAATGATGGACTCCTGTTTTCTGATATAAACAAAGCTTTCACGACAACAGGCAACATATTTATTTCATCTCTACTGGATGTACGTTGACTTTTTGCCCACTTTGATATTGACCCCATATTGAGAAGGTGTGTGGCGTCCTTAGTTACTGTTGCTATGGCTGCGTCTTTTTAGTTTACTGGGATAACTGATTTATCACTCCACATTCCCCAGTATTTGGAATAGCTGTTCATCTCAACAAGAAAACAATCAAAAGGTTCTTTTGGTGACGCTGATCAGACTCAGGCCCAGGAATGACTTGACTAAAAGAAAGTGCCTGCTGGCTAAAGATATTACTCTCCCCTGTTTCCCTCTAGACAAATAATAAAAAATCATGACAGAAAAATTGTGGAACTATCCTTTAATATAATATGTCCCTTTCCATTGTATTTCTTCCATCAAGTGCATCTTTATTCCCTGGCAGCACACATATTGCTTTGGGGTATAAATGAACCGTTAATGATTTAAGATCAGCTTGAATACAAATTGTTTGGACTATATTATAGTGGTAAATGGACGATACTCTTCTGACCTCGTGCACATGTCATCATTTACCCTCATTCATACACTGATGACAGGAGCTTCCGTGGAGTTTTAGGCCGCACTTGCACACGGCCGCCGGCGGAGAGAGATCGAGCTGTCGCTCTTCTGACTGAAGGACGCACCGCTGCCCGTCACCGGCGGACGTGGTCCTTTAGAAGTGAGCTGGGGCAGGACCTGAGGGCCCGGGAGCAGGAGGAGCAGCACGCGCTCCTGTAGTAGGCGTTCACGCAGAGCCGGGCCGGAACCACCACCATGCAGTTGTGGTGCTGGTCGCCGCACGATGGGTCTGCGACGGGAAAAAGGGGAGCAAGTGGCACAAAGTGGGGGGAAAAACAGGGGAAGGGGGGCCACCTTTTCCATTCGTGGTTTTCTCCCCCCCCCTTTGGAGGGGGGGGGGGGGGGGGGGGGGGCGCTGGTACTAATTCATTGAGCCTTCCGATCCTCAGGCTTCAATGCTCAACGTCCCCCAGTACAATTAAATCTGACTCATTCACAACTACATACAGAGCCTTGTAAGAAGTAGCCCACTCCTCTTTTCTTGCAGGACAACCTGATAATAATAGAAAATAAGACGTCACATACTTAAATAAATAGTCCTTTTGTGTCGCATCATCTAACGGCGCTGCACGGAATCCTTTTTTAAATTATGAAAAGAAAACATGTGCCCACACCGATTCGAAGAGGACGGCAGAGACAACGGCTTTCCCTCCCTGTTCCCGCACAACCGCCTCCCCCCCCCCCCCCCCGGTTGGGATGATAGGCTATCGTCATGGCAACAGCATCCACAGAAATCCCCCCCCTCCCCAAACAGCCTCTCATGCGTCCTCCGTGGCGGTAACAAAGACGGAACTTACTTATCTCGACACCACAAGGCTGCTTGTTGCATTCTTCTCGGCCTTTCCGGGGTCAAACCGGGGTCACCGCTGTCACTGGGCATGACGGTGTCCGCGAGACAGCGCACCTCGCGCACGCGGTAGCCCCCCGCCGCAGGAGCGTGAGCACTGAGAGAGAGAGAGAGAGAGAGCTGCAGGTATAGTGTCTTCATCCGGACGGCACTATTTTTGAGTGTCCCAAACAACTTTCCAACAAAGAAATACGAAACTGTTGGATCTGGATCATCTAGCATCCCAACCAAAGGTCCAATCCTTCTCTCTCCAGCAGGTGGTTTGACCCTTTGAATGGCGTCTTTGTAACTGGCCAAATGCTTTTGTCTGAACTGATCTCTCAGTTCTCAGGACACTTACCGCACTCCAGTCTTTGACGTACCACTGGACGCCACATGGCTTCAGTCTGCAGGGCTGCTGGGCTGTGATTGGCTGAGAGAGACTGGGGCACTCCGCTGGGTCTGCAACCACCACACGACCGTCACTGCTGGAAATGCAGACCGAACGCCGGGTCCGTGTGCCGCTCCCGCACTCTGCCGAACACTTAACACACACACACACACACACACACAAATAACACTTCAATGCATGTCTTCACGGTGTGTGTCAATGTTTGCGTGTCAATTACCTGCCCCCAGGGGCCAGTGTACCACTCCAGGTGATTGAAGCAGGGGCCTGACTCGCAGGCTGTGGCCTCTGGTGGGCGTTCCCCTTCGCAGCTGTCCAATGGGAGATCGGTCAGGTGATCCGTCAGGCACAGCGCCGCCCGTGTCCGGTTGCCCGGGCCGCACTCCGCAGAGCACTGAAGAACATCGCGCGCACACACACACACACACACAAATACGCTCTAAATCGGGGGGGCCACTATGTGATTTCGCCCCACAGGAGCCGCGTCTGCGTTACCCGGTGGCTAACGGCTAACGGCTCCATGTGGAACTAATGCAGCGGCGTGTCGACCATTCTTGTGTTTCACGACCATTGTATGCATCAAGTGTGTGCGTGTGTGTGTGTGTGTGTTGCTCACTACGCAGGACAGGGCTCGTAGCTGCAAACCTCTTCCTGGTTCGTTGGTTCACTGTGCAGTCGTCCCATGTTGCTTTTAATGCGCTTTCTCTGACGTCATTGTTGGGGACTTCACCTTGGTAGTTCTTCTCCCTCGGATGGTCCTGCTCATCTTGGTGGTTCATCCCACCTGAGTGGGACGGGCCCACTGCTGCAGCTACACGAAGACGTGAGTCCTCCAAAGGCACAATGTACTCATAGTACACACTGGGACCTGGTTGCTGGTAGATCAGCTGTGGGAGATAGTTGAGGGGTATTTGATGATGATTGTAGTACCAGTAGGATTGCTTGTGTACAGTGTGTATTTGAACAATGGGGGCCGATGCGTTCCCGTCCTTGTCTCACGTAAACATGCAGGTCCTCGGTCAGCGGCCCCCGCTGCCGTGATGGACTCTCCTTTGCGAGATCGGATTTCGTTGGGTCGTTGGTACGTCAGCCGTGTCCCCGCCGCAGTGAAGCTCCCCTGTCTGTCAACCACCCAGTTGCCGTTGACGACAGAGAGGCCGCTTTGGGTCCGCAGAGCTGGAGGAAAGCGCCGTGTTTGTGCATCAGCGCAGCGTTCGCCGTGGGGGAAAACGTGTGTGTGCGTTTGTGTGTTTGTACCCAGATAGTTTCGGCTCTTCACTGTCTCCCTTATGCGGACGTCGCTTGCTCCTGCGGGAATCTCTGTGATCTCATGGTAACCAAATCGCAGGAAAGTCCTGGAGAAATTCCCCCTCACCACCCGGAGGCCCTGCCAACACACACACACACACACACACACACACACACACACACACACAGTCATGCACACAAAGCCACAGGTACAGATGGTTTCCCCCTCACTGGTATGTGTTTCCAAGTCTAACCATAGATGCCGCTGGAATCATCCAAAGCAAACCTGTGGTCAGTGATGTTGTTATTCCCCGCGGGAGGATTCAAGTTGCGATGAAGGAATAAATGTGCAAATGAATCGCAAACGCGGATCCCAGAAACTATTAAATTGCCAACTCAAACAATATATTTTTTTTTTCCATGAGCGTGTGGATGTCCTACCTGCAGAAGGGGCGGGCTGGTTCCGGTATCCCAGGGAAGAGCAGGGAAGAGGGGGGGTGTTTTGGGGAGTAGGGGTGGGGAGGGGAAAACAGTCACACTTTGGGGAGGGGTTAAAGAAGTTGCGTTGCACATTTTATTGTTGCACGTTGGAAGTCCCACCCATTTGACCTCAGTGTGAATGCTGCGACTGCTCGTGATGTGCGTCGTGAAGCTTTTCCCAAAAACAGCCTTTCTCTGCAAATCCTTGTGCAGGATTGTGACGCTTCTGACACACATTGCTCTTGACCTTTCCACGTCATAGTTCTTTTCTAGCTAATTCCTTCATTTATATTGTTTATTGACAAAAGAAAAATAAATGTAAGATATTAGGAACGCGCGGCTCAGATTGTGGTTAATAGAAAGGATGTATTCAATCTATTCATAACGTCAAGTCAAGTCAAGTCATTTTATTTTGTATAGCCCAGAATCGCAAATTACAAATTTGCCTCAGAGGGCTTTACAGTCTGTACACATACGACATCCTCTGCCCCGAAACCCTCCATCGGCACAGGAAAAACTCCCCAAAAAATGAAAAAACCCTTACAAGAGGGAAAAAAGGGAAGAAACCTTAGGGAGAACGTCAGAGGAGGGATCCCACTCCCGGGATGGACAGACTACAATGGATGCCATGTGTACAGAATGAACAATGTATAATACATGCAATTCCTATGACAGAAATGATTCAAGTAATTGTGAGTAGTAAGCCAGGCGCACAGCAGGACCACTGCAGAGGCAACCACCATCAGATAGAACCACCATCCACAGAATCCTGTGGGGAGGGAGAGCACAGAGATTTTAGGAGAGGGTAATGTTGGTTTATGAGTAAAGTAATATGATTAATATCTAAAATAATGATGATGATGATGATGATGGCAGCAGCAGGCGTCAGCATGGCCACGGTAGGTGTCAGGACCAGGGTCCCGAAGGAACCACGATCTATGGAGACCTGATAGGGGCGAAAGCACAAAAAAAACTCCCGGAAAGAAGCTGAATTAGTCATGTGCATTAATAAAACTTGAATTATGGTAGAAAGAGAGCGTGAGAGAGGAGCTCGGTGTGTCCTAAGAATTCCCCCGGCATTCTAAGCCTATAGCAGCTTAACTAAGGGCTGGTCCGGACTAACCTGAGCCAGCCCTAACTATAGGCAGAATCAAAGAGGAACGTTTTAAGTTTTACTTTAAAAGAGCTAACCGAATCTGCCCCCCGGACTGAAAGTGGAACCTGGTTCCACAAAAGAGGAGCTTGATAACTGTAACCCCTTCCGCGTGATTCAGTGCTCTAACATCAGGGATTTACCTCCAATAGATTGAAACTGAGAAACTACTTGCTGAAGGAACTAATTCAAAGGGGTGGGGTGGAGGTGAGGTGGGTTTTTTTTGCCCACCTGTGTTGTGCGGAGCCTCTCTGGCACGGGGCCAGATCCAAGACGCCCCCCCCCCCCCCCTCACCCCCCCAGTCAATACCAAGCAGTCTCCGGGCCCCAGCAGGTGCATTCTGTGGGCCTCCAGCAGCCTGTGAGGGAACACTGGGAATTGCGATGTCTATTTTCCACTATGACAGCTTAATAACTGCCGTGCCTGATCTCACACACACACACACACACACACACACACACCCGTGTACCATGAGTGCCTGAGAGCGGATGAAAGTGTCACAGCGGATCAAAGGACGACACGTACCAGCGTCGCTTACATGCACAGGTTGCTGCCGCAATGATCGGCGACGATGGTACAGTCACTGTCTTTTGACGTCATTTACAGCCGGATCGAGTTAACAGCGTTTGAATCTGCTTTGATTCGGCACTGAAGCTTGTATGTGGGAGACGTTTACGGAAAGGCGTCTGTTAAAAGCATTGACTGGTACAGAACTTCCTCCCCCAATGGGCATTGCAGATATTTATTTTTAGAAAAAAAAAGCGCCACAGTGCATGAAGTATAGTTTTTGAGCTCATACAGCTTTGGGAATAGAAGAGCCCTTACTGAGTGTTGTTTTGTAGCAAAGAAGGTGGAAAAAGACTAAAACTATTTTTTTTATATTGTTTTACTGACACTTAATCACATGTGACTAATTAAAATGTGTTATTGTGTGTGTGTGTGTGTGTGTGTGTGTGTGTGTGTGTGTGTGTGTGTGTGTGTTGACTGTCCACTTTTAACCATAAAAAACAAGCGGAAAGGAAGACAAAATTAATTAGTCAACAGATATTTAGCTCAGACGTGAAATTCTTCATCACATTAACTGACCTTCTACATTTGTCTTTCTTGTCGTTCCCTTTCTTTTGTCATCACACTCTGTTCAGACACCCACACCACCCTCCACCCTCCACCCTCCCCAGATGTGGGTTGTTTGATGTCCTTCTGTCCGTCCTCGCCAGCTGTCCCCACCAAACCAAACGGAGGGTTCTGTCATGCCGCTGACACCTGGTCGCCCGCTAAGTACCGGTTTGCTTCACCAACGACCAACTCCCGTCCTAACGACCACGAGAACCACAAGACACAACCCGTCAATCACGTAGAGTTCCTCTGCGGCGGTCTGTCAGCGGCGGGATGTTACATTTGCACTGTAAACATCTTTGTCATGTCCCTCACATTTCGCCAGACTTAAGAAGCACGACGGCTTGTGCTGACATGCTGTTGACTGAAACAGGTGCAGCAAGATTCCCCTTTCCAGTGCATTTAATAGAAGAAATAAATGGTTGCTTACATGCTTACAGAGAAAAAGAAAACTGACGGTGAGAGCGGTTGAATAGCCATCAGAGCGAAAGGGGGTCAGTTAAAATACGTGCAGCGGCCTCTGGCCTCACGTCTTACCTTCTGCTAATTACAGGCCGGAGGAGCTGTGAACGATGGAAGCACACACACGCACACACCTTTTGACACCCTGATCACACCTCCGTGGTCAGCTGCTGCAGACGTCTACAGCAGAGCAGGTCACAGAAGGAAACACAGCACGCAGAGCGCATTCCATCGCACAGGTTGCGTTGGTTATACCTGCCCATCAGTGCACACGAGGTCATGAAGTCAGCTCGACTTTAACAGCTTACTTTGCTACTTTATGTGAATAGTTTCAAAGTTACTGACCCACTGTAAAAAAAAGCTGTTTAAACTTAAACTTTAAATAATAATAATAATAATAATAAATAATCTGACTGCCTTAAAATGTTGAGTTCGGCACTATAAGAAATTCAAGTTATTTTCATTCAATCAGTTAAAGTTGATTTAACTGAGAATAAATAGTTGCAAGAAGCAGAAAAGATTCTTAGTTTAACTTAAATACTTGGGTTTAGTAACACTAACAAGACATTTTAAGTTACACAAGCCTAGTTGAGACAACAAGCTGGTACAGCCGACCACATATCACTCATATCCTGAACTCTACTAGCTGTAGTAGTTTGAACTAGTTTGTTGGATCAATTTTTCATTTTCTGTGGCGCAAATAGAGTACTGAAAGTTTTCCCCACCCAGCATCTGTTTTCAAACAGTGCACAACAGAACGATGTCGTCATGCGCGCGGTTCTCTTGTCCGCCACAGGGGGGCGCGCCGCGCACCAACCGGAAGCAGGAAGTGGAGTCAGTCGACGGGCGAAATTCAAAATTTCTGTAACAAAACAGCTCTGCTGCCACTGCGCCTTCCTACGTGACGTCTGGGGGCTCTGAACCGAACTTCCTCCGCACCCGTTCTCACACAAATCCCGGTAAGTGCGTCGCGTCGCCCAGCGGCTTCCGGTTTGTAGTGATTTAGCTCACGTCGCGTAGCACTTCAGGCGTCGTTGACCACTTGTTCTGCTAACGGCGGTTGCTCCGTAGCGTCACGCCGCCCGCTGGACGTTAGCTACCGGGCTAAAGGACGCCGCGTCTGTAACCCGCCGGGGAGGGTCCTTCGTCGTACGGGGCTGAACCGGGCAGCATGCCGGTGGAGCGGACGGAGCACGGAGGAGCCGAGGAGCTCCACAAGTACTACGAGGTCTACGAGACCATCGGCTCAGGTAAAGGCGAGGTGCGCGTGCGTGTCCGCGCTCCCGTGGCCCCTCTGAGGTATACGTGTATATTTATATGTGTGTGTGTGTGTGTGTGTGTGTGTGTGTGTGTGTGTGTGTGTGTTGGTCAGGGGGCTTTGCCAAAGTGAAGCTGGGTCGTCACATCCCGACGGGGGAGAAGGTCGCTATAAAGATCATGAGCAAGAAGGAGCTCGGGGTGAGTGCAGTGATTCCTCTTCAACCCTTAAGTCCGTGTATGTACCATGTTTATATGCATTACATTCAATAAAGTTCTTCACAATACTTAAAATATGATCCTTAATACAAACAAGTATTTTTTCGAAATCAGAATTCTGCAAAATGCCAACAAAACATGTGCATATTATCCACAATAAATAAATAAATTGAAACAAGAAAAATTGTCCGTATTTTTTTTTTTTTTAGTTCCTCGTTCTATTATAAATGTGGATGCCCAGTGTTGTTCATCTCCTCGTTTTCTGCATAAAAAACATTATTGGGGAAATAATGCAAAAAAACAAAACAAAAGACGTTTGAAAAATATTTTTAAAAGCTGTCCCTCCTCCCCAGGACGACCTGCCTCGTGTGAAATTGGAGATCGAGGCCATGAAGAACCTGAGTCACCAGCACGTCTGTCGTCTCTACCAGGTCATAGAGACCTCCACCCAGATCTTCATGGTGCTGGAGGTGAGCACGCGATACACAGACACCGCGTGTGCATGTGACATTGTCACGTTGTTTGGTTTTCCACCTCTGTCCCTTTGCTACCTCAGTACTGTCCAGGAGGGGAGTTGTTCGACTACATCATAGCCAAAGACCGTCTGTCAGAGGAGGAGACCAGGGTGTTCTTCAGGCAGATTGTGTCTGCCATGGCCTACGTGCACAGCCAGGGATACGCGCACAGGGACCTCAAACCGGTAAACACGACCACTGATTGTGTGTGACCGAGGAGCTGCGATGCAACAACGCGGCGCGAATGCGTTCTGGTGTCAATGGCGCGCTCTGCTTGATCTGCAGGAAAACCTGTTGATTGACGAAGACCACAACTTGAAGCTCATAGACTTTGGACTGTGTGCCAAACCGAAGGTAAAGCACCAACTTTCCCCTTCTCATTGTGTCATCAGTGAGTGTCAAGTAAAGGGAAAGAGGGGGGGATATAATGTCAGATCGGTTTGGTTGTTCCCGCACAAAATGTGTAAGTGGGTGTCTCTGTCCTAGGGAGGTTTGTGTCACGAGCTGATGACGTGCTGTGGGAGCCCTGCGTACGCTGCTCCTGAGCTCATCCAGGGAAAATCCTACATCGGTTCAGAGGTGGGACGCTGTTACAGCCACCGTGCTGCCCTTCAATGCAATAAAAACAACAACTTGCATTTGTATTTCCTGCAAAAAAAGACCCGATTAACTGCGGGTTCCACTTCCAACGCTGCCCTTTTTTTCACGCCGCGCTGATCGTGCTCGCTGGTTGACTCTGAGCGGAGCTGTGAAATGCTGCGCTGTGTGTAACCTGCAGGCGGATGTGTGGAGTATGGGGGTGCTGCTGTTCGCCCTTCTCTGTGGGTACCTGCCCTTCGATGATGACAACTGCATGGTCCTCTACAGGAAGATTACAGTAAGAGCGCTGACTCCATACCTGCTGTTTAGTTGTCTGGACCATTTGAAATGCTGAAAAGCTACGTTTTATTTTATTATTTGAGTGGGGGGGTAAATGTCTTCTGTCCATGTCCAGCAATTACTGTGGTTAATGGGATATTAATCAAACAGCAGAGACGCGTTTGTCTCCGTTTTAGTCCATTGGCGTTTCATAATGTGTTCTCGTGCCCCCTCAGAGAGGTAAATACGATAACCCCCGGTGGCTGTCTCCAGCCAGTGTCCTCCTCCTCAACCAGATGATGCAGGTACACGCAAACAAGCCCACGTTTCAACTCCTCAATACACATCGGCTTAAATAGGAAGAAAAAAATAGGCAATTTTGAATTTACATAATGGTTTGAATATAATTTGTACAACATGTGCGGTATTTTTAAACATGCCGCCGCTTGTTGGATGGTGTTGTCCCTCCGGCATTGACTTGTAGTTTCCCCGTGCGTCCTGTAGGTGGACCCCAAGCGGCGTGTTACTGTGAGGCAGCTGCTGGACCATCCGTGGGTGATCAAAGAGTACAACAGCCCCGTGGAGTGGCGTAGCCGGCAGCCGGTACACACACACACACACACACCCTGAACCAATCCCACATTCCGTAGCATGCATACGATTACTAGCACACCTGGTCTCCTCTGTAGTCCGGCCACATCGACAAGGACTGCATCACCGAGATGGCCGTCAGCATGAAGCGGTCGAGGGAGAGCGCCGCGGCGCTGGTCAGCGAGGTGTGTGCGCGCGTTGCTGCTCGCGTCTGAACGTTTTATCGCGCCGGTCACTTTGTCCGCTGTGGTCGCAGCGGCTCCCCCGCGCGCGCTCTCTCAACACGTGTGACCTCCCACAGTGGCGGTACGACCAGACGACCGCCACCTACCTGCTGCTGCTGTCCAAGAAGCAGAGGGGGAGGCCTGTTCGCCTGCGGCCTGAACCCACCGCGCGCGAGGACTCCTGCTCACCGCTGCACCAGGGACTACAGGTCTCCTGGGCTCCGTTCTCTGTGACTCCACCCGTGACACCAGAACCTCCTGTTTTTAGTTTGACCCCTTTGACCTCCTGTTGTCTTCCTTTCCCCCGTGCGTCCAGACGAGGGAAGCCCTCCACTTCAGCGAGGACGAGGACGCTGTCATCGTGGGTTCTCTGGACTTTGCCTCGGATTACGTCGACGACTGGGCTCGGGTCCCACGATACACACCAAAGGGGGTCCGAGGTCAGCCGGATGGCGCGGCCAACCACAGGAACGCGGTATGGGAACGCCGCAACGCCAAGTCTTTTGCCTCAAGGATGGGGGGGGAGAAAAAAAAAATGACCTCACCAATTTCCTCTCTTCTGTGCTCCCAAAGACCCCAGCGTCTCCGTCAGAGACCCCAGAGAGAGGCCGAGCCACAGCGCCGCACCGCCAGGAGAGGAGGGGCCGAGACCAGGAGAACAAGGAGAACGTGGCCGTGCAGGAGAAGGACGTGGACATATTCGCGCTGCCGCCTCCTCGCACGCCTGCATCCGGCAAGAAGAGCAGCCGGCCCAACAGGAACGCGTTGACCACGCCCAACCACAACGCTAACGTCACTCCTAAAGGTAAGGGGCGTACTGGGGTAGAGGCCACGCAGCTCAAGTTTATCACGTGCTTTTGTTTGTACGCCATAATTGTTTTTGTTCCAAAGAAGCACTTCTCCATTCGATTATTTAGCCGGCTGTCCCTCTCCACGCCGCTCTCTTCCATTTATTTGTTCTGTCGCTCTTATAATCACGTCCACGTGCCACACATTTGCAAATAAATTGTCCCGTGGTAATAAACTCGTTTATTTGGGCCGGTTTCCACGCCGAAGCCTCTCATATTTCCGACGATGTAGCTCATTAGGGAAATCGCCGGAAACGGACACACGCAAACTTATCTCTTGTCAACTCGCCACCGAGGCTATTATCGGGGCGCTAATTCTGTCCACTTATCTGCAAATGAAGGACGCCGTTATGAATGAAGGATCATTAAAGTCTCAATTGTTTTTCAAAGTGAATCGGCTGCTCGGATGTGTGGCCGCGTTGGTTTCCTCTGACGGCGTTAAACCCCGTTGGCACGTGGCTCGGTCCTGCTGCGCTCTCTGCCTCCTGCTGCCTGGGCTGCGGCGCAGACGTGCTGAAACACACAGACACACACACACACACATATAAAGTGGTGTGTGTGTGTGTCCCCAGGCGTGTGCTGTGACAGGTGTAGCTGTCTCTTCCTCTGCTCACTGTCCCACGTGGGCTGTAGTGACATGTGTTTTCTTGCCACTAAATCTCTCTCCCTTTTGTGTGTGTGTGTGTGTGTGTGTGTGTGTGTGTGTGTGTGTGTGTGTGTGTGTGTGTGTGTGTTCTGAATGAATCTTCTATTAAAACAAAACTCAAAAAACCTCAAATCAAATGTCTCGTTGTAAATGTTCCGCTGCAGGGTGATGCTAGTGGTGAGTGAGGTTAACGTGTCTGTACCCTTTGTTTTTAACCACGGGGTCTATTCCTGTTTGTCTGTCAGGATGCGGCAGCGCTTCTAAAGAGCACGATAAGAAGCGAGCGGCAGAGCTCAAGGAGCTTGCGGATGTTGAAATCCTGACTTTCAGTCCTGAGCGAAGGTGAGCGGGAACGTGAGAGCGGCTGGATGTGATGAATATGGACGGGAGGGAGGATCCAACTCGTAGGCAAAGCTTTGTTTACATTGGTGCTTGAGGTCACGGATGCACAGAGGCGTGTATCTACACAAACATTCACCACGCCGAGGAGGGACTGATTACCCGTAAACCATTATCCCATCAACTACTTTATATCCTTTGTATAAGCTCAGTAAAGAAACAATGGTGCCTTTATCAGGGAACTATTTGTGTCATGTGATCGCGTTCTATTCAGAGGTGTCTCCTCAGGGTGGCCGATAAAACAAAGGATTCATTCTAATTCTAAAGAAGGATCTTTGTCCAACTGCCTCGTTAGTTTGAATGAAAGATGCTAAATTATTCTAGAATTGGACTAAAATGTAAAAGCGACCGACGAGGTAAGAGCCCGGCGGAAAGACTTGACCTGAGACGCGCTTTGCCGACCCCAGGTCTCGGTCGCTGGACATGGCGGTCGTCGGGGACAGCGAGAAGAAGAGGAGGGGGGGAAAGGTGTTCGGTTCGCTGGAGAGAGGCCTGGACAAGATGATCACCATGCTCACTCCCAACAAGCGGCGAGCGCTGCGAGACGGCCCGCGCAAGATCAAGGTACGGAGCGAGACGGCGCCGCCACCACCACGCGAGCTCTGCGCCGTGAGCATCGCCCGCATCACCCTGTCTCTCTCCTTTCCCTGCTAGGCGCAGTACAACGTCACTCTGACCAGTCAGACCAATCCAGACCAGGTCCTCAACCAGATCCTGTCCAACCTGCCCGAGAAGAACGTTGACTTCACACAGAAGGGGTAAGGAGGCGACTCGCCACGCCCGCCCTCTCTCCCACGCAGACGCCCCCGGCGTTCGATCGCCGTCCCCCTAACGTCCCCGCGCCGCGTTCTCTCTTTAGGTACACCCTGAAGTGCCGGACGAGGGGCGACCACAAGAAGGTAACCATGGCGTTTGAGCTGGAGGTGTGCATGCTGCAGAGGCCGGAGGTCGTCGGGATCCGGCGCCAGAGGCTGAAGGGAGACGCCTGGGTCTACAAGCACCTGGTGGAGGACATCCTGTCCATGTCCAGGATCTGACGCTTCGCGCTTTCCTCACGACGCCGCTTCCCGTTGAAGGCACTGGGCCTTTTGCGGTCCTGATGAGTGATGGATGCACAGAGTCACGCACGGCGCCCCAGCCTCATCATTCACAGTGAATACTTCCGTTTGTCCGTAGGCCAGCCTGCAATCCCCCGAGTACATGTTACACGCCAGGATCCTGTACAGCGCGTCTGGCTCTATGCAAAGCGCTGCTCTTTTAATTCGTAACTATTAAGCTACAGGAGGCTGTTTACAGGAAACCTTCGGGCTGCTCATATTTATGTCTCCGTGTTTTTATTCTCCCCTGTGGATGGAATTCACTGTCATTAATGTACATGCTTGCAATTTGTAAACTTCTCATTGGTGCTTTTAGTGTCTGTCACATTTCTATTGACATAAAAGGAGCAAAATAAATGATTTCTGGTGACAATACAACAGACAATTTAGATTCATTTATCTACCACGCCATCACACACACACACATATATATATATATATATATACATACATTTTGTCATTCACTCAGCAGTTTGATGGAGCAGTGGTGTGTTTTACACTCTTGTCAACATCCTTCTGTTCCTTTCCTGGTCTTCACTCCTCTTTGTTACTAAGATTGATGGTGATGGTTTAGCTGAGTGACAGCATCTGTCAGTTCATATTTAGTGAAAGAGATGAATCTAATGCCGTTACCTTACATGTCGAACACACGTTTCCATCATGGAAACTATTTATGAACCTTTTTTTCTTTTTTTTTTCCTCTTGCATTTTATAGAAAAATACCACCTCCCTGAAATATCCGTGTGTGTTTTATACTTGAAAGGCACGTTGGATCATTCTTGGCCACAGTGGGAGATGAGTAGAGCGCCCGATGCTTATGGCTGAATAATGATGGCAGCATCTGAAGAGCCCCTCCGCGCCCTCATAACAGCGCTGCGTCTGATCGGCGCCCAATGGCGAACGGTTCTCCTTGGCGTCCCAGCAGGAGAGAGCGAGCCAACCCCAGCTGATGATAAGGGGGGGGGGGTTTAACCTTAATGCAGTCAGAGAGGATTGGGGGGCGCGGGATGCTAATTTAAGACAGAGGTGAAGGTGGAAAATGGAGAGATCAAATGCAGGTGTGCGCGTGTGTAGACAACAGCTGGAGTCAAAGGCCGCTGTCGCCTTTCTCACATACAAGAGATTCTTCTCTTCACCGGGAAGATCATTCACTTGTTCCTCCTTTAACTAACACGCGAATGAAATCTCGTACTGGTGTGTAAATCTAAATAAAGCGACATGAAGGGATTCTTGTCGTTGTCCCTCCTTTCAAACAGGGGGCACTGCAACCTGTGTGCCCACGTTGGGAACTCCAGCCCATGCTTGTTTGACAGGAGCAGCACAAGAAGGCAAGTCTGAGGAGGACGAAGTCATTAAAGCTGAGCCCTTCGTGGCGTTTCAGTGCGTCCAGTTGGGAATCGGTGAGTAGAAGTCGTTCTCGCCGGCGGATTTCGGTTCACTTTTTGCGTTTGTTCTTCTCAGGCCTGAGAGACATGAGGCTCCTTCTGACGACCGTCCTCGTCCTCCTTTTCCTCTGTGAGTTTATGTTTTAGCGAGCAGAGCGGCGGCGCTGATACGCTCCAATCATTTTTGATTGCAAGAACATTTCTATTTTTTTTTGTGAGGCGGCTTGACGACGTCCTTCTGGTATTCTCCTCTGACGGCGTGTCTGTGTATTTTTCAGGGCTTCGAAAGTCTCAGATGTCCGATGATGGATTGCGTGGAAATCCTTGTGAGGTAGTTTGATTCAAGTAATTTGGGCTTTTCATCCAGAGGTTCCCAGCTCGAAGATTTACTGCCATTTTTCCCTTTTTTTTTCTGAAGAGCCTAGAAAGCCAATCCTGAAGTTGGTGGAGACCAAAAGGCCGTCACCTCCACTTTTGTCTCTGTCCCCCTGCAGGCCGCGTCCCTCCTCTCGTCCCCCCTCCTCCTGTACCCGTGGCTGACGTCCACGCTGCTCCGGCTCGTCCTGTCCGTCCCGCCTCTCGTCCTCGGCGCCCTGCATCACTCCCTGGCGCTGCTCCTCGCCTGTCCCTGGTGCGTCGCCGCCGCCTGCGTCTCTCTGCTGCTGACGGGCCTCCGCGTGGCCGTCTACCTGCTCCACCTGGCCCTGGCGATCGGGGCGGTGGCCATTTTGACCCTGGCGCGGCACGAGATGGCCGACGGCCACGAGGCGGACGCGAGAGCTCGGCGCCGGCGGGGGGAAAGCGGAGCGGCGTCGGGCGAGGCCATTGACTGCGGCGAGGATTCGCGGGGCTGATCTATTTCCTCCGAGCTTCCACCTCCGTTCATTTAATGGTCACGCAACGGCGGCTTCGTATTTGCCACAGATTGTGTTTTAAATTGGCTTAGAGAAACTTTGTAGCGGACGAAAATGAATAAATAAAAAGCACCTTTTATCGCGTGTCCTTGTGATCTAAACGAGGGTGAAAACACATCTGCTCGCTGCTACTTTAACAAGTGTACAGTTATTTCTCCATCGGCGTCTCTAAGCGTGCCCCCCCCCAATTATCTGCGGATTGTTGTGCTGTCCCCCCCCCCCATTCGCAGATGTTATCATTAGACATGTCCGTCAAATGGAGATGAGCGGATAAGGGAAGAGAGGAAGGAATACGAGAACATTTCCTGCATTCATTGTGTGTGTGCGTGCATGCAAATTGTTTTCCTGTGAAAACACTAATAAAGCGAGTTAACAGGGAGAGAAACCAGCAAACTCTCGGAGCAGCGTTCAAACCTGCACCCCAAAAAAAAAAAGCCCCCCATCACTTTTAACAAAACTATTTGCACTCCAGCCGAAAAGGTGGAAGCGGCGGTTGAACTTTCCGCGCTGTTTGTGAGAGAGAGAGAGACAGACAGAAGGGAAATGAGGCCGGATCATAGAGATTTATTACACGGCCGCGGCGTCCTAATTAGCATAAAGACTGGACCGGCCCACTCAAGCAGAGAATTAAAAAGCTTAATTGTGCTGTCAGCCTCCCTCTCTCTTCCTCGCTGCAGACGCTACCTCGTCTCCCCTCGTCCTCCTCAGCGCCCCGCTCGTGGAGTCGCCTCCGTCCGTGTTGTTTAATTGTCGGTGATAAATGGGAAGCAGGGTTTGTGATTGTCTCCGAGTCGGGGGGGAGGGAGGGTGGGAGGGAGGTGGGAGAGGAGCAGCAGCAGGAATGGGAGGCGATTTGATATTTGCGAAGTAGAGAGCGGCCATTTATCAGATGCTTGTTTGAAGGAGGGAAAACGTGTTTGGCGGGATTTGACCCCCCCGGTCAGACGCGTGCTTTATGACATCAGACAACCTGAGACTGTGGGGTGATCGCATGGATTGCACAGTTGACATTGTGGCACTTTTAAGGGTTTTCTAGCCCGAGTATTAGTAGTATTGTTAGAAAAATCATTATTCATTAGATATTAGCAGAGATTGAATTGACACGTCATGGATGAAGGCAACTGCTGCACTATAATACTGATTAAGGTGAAACATTATTTCCCTCCTGTTCATACCAAGTGTAACTGCTAATTTAAATAGAAGAATAAACCCTGAACTTGAATGCTTCCATAAATGAAAAACATAAAAGGAAGCTAAACCGCTGTACACCTGTATTAGTTTTTTATTTGTCTAAAGTATGAGATCACAAGGGACGCATTTGACAACAAGCTGTATTCTGTTTTTGCCAATGCAGATAAATACTTTATTCATCACTTATCGCAATTTCTAAATCATTACTGTTTCATCATCTGTTGTAAGACTTCTAGTAAAAGAAGGCCACTAGAAGCTGATTAGTCGTGGTAGAATCTTCCCATCGCTGCTGAAGTCCTCCAATGTCTCCAATACCAAGTATTAGACAGCACCCAAAAACAGCGAGGAGCGATGCAGCCACTGAGGTTAAAATCAACAGTCATAATCCAAAATTCCTCCACCTGCCGAACTGTGACTGCAGCATTCTACTGGTGGGATGTGTGTGCATGTTGTATGTGACGTTTTGTGAGTCGCAGACTAAACTCACCCCCTGGGTTGTGGTGGTTCCGTGTAGTTGTTGAGTTGCTCCAACTCCTTCTCAGGGTGTTTTCAGTTCATCTAAAGTTAAAGTTGTAAGTCTTATTCAGCGTTTGTTTTTAGCTCTCCGCTCGCAGGAAAAGAGATTCCAAACCGGAGGCTTCACATCATCGGCCTACAAAGCAACGTGCGACGCCACGGGGACCGCGTCCTCTTCTGGCTGGACGTCCACTCAGTGGCCCAGAAAGACTGCAGCGTGCACCAAACGCAACAGTCCCATACGTCCATCTATTGATGTGGAAAATGTCCCCAAGACGCATTGTGTCCATCATGTAGAGAAGAAGATGCCGACATGTTAAGACGAAAAGAATAACCAGCAGGAAGAGGAAGGACGAGGAGCGTTAAGGGTTTCTCAGGAGGAGCAGGAGGAGCAGGTGGAGGAGGAGCAGGAGGAGGAGCAGGGGGAAGAGCAGGAGGAGGATGAGGACGAGCAGGAGGAGGAGGGGGACGAACAGGAGGAGGAGGAGGAGCAGGAGGAGGACAAGCAGGAGGAGGACGAGCAGGAGGAGGAAGAGGAGCAGGAGGAGGAGGGGGAGGACGAGGAGGAGCAGGAGGAGGAAGACGAGCAGGAGGAGGAGGAGC